ACATAACGTAAATTCCTATCCAATGAGAGACCAGATGACGTTATTTCTAGCTAATGACAGATCAGATGACTTCACACGCAACCAATCAGTAACTCGAAACTGTTACACACACACACAGACTCACCTCTCCACAGCGAGGACTGTCGTGTACCACAGACACAGTAAACACAGTAGGTTGAGGAGGAAGCCCTGAACCTGACACAGCGACCCTTGGGCTGGATATGTCCCTGAAAAACATAAGGCCACAGGTTAGGTTAGGTTAGGTAATGGAATGGGAAAAAAATCCTGGTTAATAGTTGCCCTAACCTAACCTAACCCCTCCCGTCCCTCTCTTCTTTTCTCCCTGTTTACATCTTTTCAATTATTAATTTCCCTAAAAAATATAGAATTTTATTTTGGTAAAGTTTTCGGGGAGGGGAGGAGGGGGAGAAGGGAGGAGAGGAGGAGGAGGAGGAGGGAGGAGGAGGAGGAGGAGGGGGAAGGTTGTTTTATATAGTACAGTACGTCTGGAGTGGAGCTGGTTGTCTGTCTGTCTCTGTATCTCTCTTTTTCTCATTCTCCATCCATCCAACCATCCATCTCTCTCTCTCTCTCTCTCTCGGGGAAAGGGAGGTATTCCTGTAGGTGTAAGGCGGTGTGGCGGCCTCTGTGTGTGTGTGTGTGCGTGTGTGTGACCGTCACTCACGCACACACACACACACAGAGGCCGCCACAAGCAGAGGCTACAGCTATCAGGCAAGTCCAGGAGGGGGGGTGGAGGGGGAGGGGGAGGCAATGGTGAGAAAATTGTGCTTTGACATCAACACGTCTCTCTCTCTCTCTCTCTCTCTCTCTCTCTCTCTCTCTCTCTCTCTCTCTCTCTCCCTTTGACCTGATTTTTTATTCATGAAATTTTAAATCTTTAGTTCTCTCTCAGACATGAATTATTGACAGTCATCGGGTTTTTTAACAGTCATGAGTTCTGTTAGCGCCAAAGACACGCTCATGACGCGCTAACAGGTAGTCATGGATAACAGAAAAGACACTAATGTGTTTTAAAAATGGCGTCGGTAGTGTACTGAGACTGCACATCAGAACGCCTGTAGTTGTCTTGTTTATACTGTAGACTGACAAGAGGTGATTAATTATACGTTTATAAACACCTCAGAGGATACTAGTGTTGGTACCTGCAGCTGGTGGTCGTCTGTTCCACTAGAGGTCACAGCGAAGAAGCCACAAGTCCAGAAAACTGCAGGACAAACTTTTCTGGAGTGACTCTTGGAACAACCTGCCAGAGTGTTGTGACGGCACCGAGTGTGACCTCTCTTGAGACCTGACTTGACCAACACTGACGCAGGTACAGACAAATCCTGGAGCCAGTACATGACCAGTATTTACCAACAGTGTGTGACAGAGAGCCAGTACATGACCAGTACTTATCGACAGTGTGTAACAGAGACGTGACCGACAGACCAAGTGGCTATGGGACCGATTAGTGGCGAAGAGGATAAAAGTAAAGTAAAACTCGGTCATTTAGTCTCACACAGAGATTGAAAGAGAGACCCTGACAACCTTCCCCCCCCCACCCCATCTCTCAAATTCCTCCCTTTTCATCTTCTCCTCCCTCCCTCTCTTCTCCCTCCTTTGTCTCTAACTGTTGTCTGAATGTCTGTAAGGATCTGTAAAGCGAAACAGACTGATAAAAGATAATTAAATTAGCACACGTCAAGAGCTTTACACATTTCAGGTTTTAAGAGTCGGGTTTTGGTCTCTTATTCCGAGGAGATATTAAGAGAGAGAGAGAGAAGAGAAAGAGATAAAGATGGAGAGGGACAACCAGAGATAAAATGGAAAAGACTAAAGGACATAGAAAGAGAGAGAGACATTGAAAGAGAAAGAGAGATAAAGAAGAAGAAGAAGAAGACGTAGAAACAGAAAGAGAGCCAACAAAAGGTTGAAGAAAGAGAAAGAAGAAGAGGAAGAAAGAAGACACCTCGAGCCGTGGTTCATTGTTGACCTTTTACCTGATCTACACCTGTCAATTAACCTCCTCTGCCTGTTGTCTCTGTTGAGTGTTCCCGTTTATTCTTTTATTTCTCTTCAACTGGTGTGTTTTTCACTTTTATCTCTCTCTCTCTCTCTCTCTCTCTCTCTCTCTCTTTATTTGACGGTTATATAAGTAATCATGAACACACACTCCAGTTAGTTGACATTATTACGTTACGTGAGTTTCAACCAATAGGAGCACTCCAGTTGATTGAAAATAGACGTTACGTGAGGATCAAGCAATGGGAGCAATTCAATTGGATGAGGAATATCCAATGGGAGCGCTCGTGTTGGAAGTCTATCTGACGTAACACTAGGAACAGCCAATCAGAGCGCTCTAGTTAATTGATACCGCCTGACGTCACCACCAAACGATCGTCTTGTCCAGCCTACTGCTTCCTGCTGACACAACATCGATAATGTCAACAACGCTGGTTATTAACAATGAACTAGTGTAAATATATGTTGTAGGGAAGGTGGATAGTCCATTACTACTACTACTACTACTAATAATAATAATAATAGGAGGCATCAAGTCACGTGGTCTAATGTTTACACTCATCAGCTGACGTCATAGCGTTCCTCAGGGCCATGAACGTTTTGTCTACCTGTATTGTTTAATTAACACTACACTACACCTACTTAAATAACTTGAATACATTACATTATTAAGTAATATTATAGTTTTGTAAGTAGTATTCGTTTGTAAGTATCGTTGCCTATCATGGATGCATTACTTAATTATACAGTATACTTAAATGATCTGAATACTTTACACTATTAAGTGATATTATAGTTTTGTAAGTAGTGTTAGAGTATAAGTAACGTTGGCAATAAGTTATGAATGCAAGAGTCAGTATTGCAAGGAGTTGAAATAGCAATAGACTGGCGGTATTGCAATATGACGAAATAAACTGTGCAAGAATGATATTACTCTCGACTGCCTCTGGCGAAACGGGGAGACACTAACAGGAAGACTCAACGGTTAACAGAAAGACTCAACGGTGTAAACAGAACGACTCAACGGTTAACAGAGGCTCAATGACTAACAGAAAGACTCAACAGTGAACAGAAAGACCCAACGGCTAACAGGAAGACCCAGCAGCTAACAGAAACACCGTATGTAAACAGTGTCTTCTACCTAAACATCAGCCGATAATGTCAGCACTTTGTCTTAAATGTGTCAGCCCCTGTCAGCTACAAGGCGGCCTTCCTCACACAGTGTCAACAGCTACAAGACACACGTAAACAACTCATACCTCAGGCAAACAACTATCAGCCACAAGACAACATTGGAAGATTACGTTAGGTGTGTAGACAAAAACCGCGGTGAAGAGGGGACAAAAACCGCGGTGAAGAGGGGACAAAAACCGCGGTGAAGAGGGACAAAACCGCGGTGAAGAGGACAAAACCGCGGTGAAGAGGGGACAAAAACCGCGGTGAGGGGACAAAACCGCGGTGAAGAGGGACAAACCGCAGTGAAGAGGGACAAAACCGCAAATAGGAGGGAAAAGGCGAGGTAAAATAGAGGTGAGAGGGAGCCAGGGAGGACAGAGGTAACCCGGCCATGAACAACTGAAAACAATCAATACAATGGGAACTAGACACGGGACAGGAAAGTCAGCTAAAACACCATCCATCCATCCATCCATCCATCCATCCATCCATCCATCCATCCATCCACCCACCAATACATCTATCCCACCATCCATCCATCCATCCATCCATCCACCTCTACATACCTTCAGTAAACTCCTAGAAGGTTATTATCTTTATCTCATTTTATTACGTTACTTCGTTTAAAGAATTGTCGTAAAAGAAAGAAAGATAAAGAAGAAAAAGATAGGGAGTTGAAGAAGATAAGATAAAGAAGAAGAAGAAGATAAGGAAGAAGAAGAAAAAAAGACGAAGATAAGATAAGAAGAAGAAAGATAAGATAAAAAGAAGACAAAGACGAAAGATATGAAGAAGAATAAGAAGAAAATAATAATAAGAAGAATATTGAACTAAGGCCAAGAAAATTGCGCGAACCTGTCCCTTTTAGAGCCATCAGAAGAGCCAGTAAACAATTTATATATCCGGTAAAGGCTCTCTCTCTCTCTCTCTCTCTCTCTCTCTCTCTCTCTCTCTTATCATATCACCTTTATAACTTTTTTTTTATTTATACAGAAGTAAACACAATTCTCAACGCTGTATAGTACATAATATTCGGCTCGTATCCCCCGCGTACTGAAGACGAGGTTAGTGAAGGTTGACGACCACAGTCCGCCACTCTAAACGTTCTCACACTATATTTACTGATCATTTAAGGTTTTATATCTCTCTGGGGGACATCCAAGTCTCTGCCTTCCCCTGGCCTTTCCACCCTCACTGCTATTGTTCCCTCATCCTTAATTATATAAGTCATATATCTCATAATTGAATTTTCATAATAATAATACTAATAATAATAACAAACAAAATAAACCTTGGACTGCCATCTTAGTTATCTCACTAACAATGTCAACAAACACGAACAAGAAACATAAACTTTTACCACTAGAAAATCTCTTTAACTATTCACTGAGAACTTGTGGTAAATCTTGAAACAGAGGCGCTACTTAGGTAATGGTTATGGAAGTGTGGTGTGGTGTGGTGTGGCGTGGTATGGTGTGGTGTGGTGTGGTATGGTGTTGAAGCTTAGAAATGGTTTATAATTGTCATATGATGTTTAATAGATTTGTATCAACACACCAACTCATCACCACACTTTTTCCCACACCACACCCAACACCACACCACACCACACCACACCCAACACCACACCACGTCTTCACACACACTGTCACCACCCAGCCACATGAAACAGAGGATCATATTAATATAGGTCAGACATTCACACTAATATTACAAGAACAAATCGCATATTATTCTCCCTATTGATGGCACACCTGGCGAGTTTACCTGGTCATAATGTGGTTACCGGGATGTGGGATGTGAGGGGGGAGGAGGAGGGAGGTGGAGGAGTGGGGGGAGGTGGAGGAGTGGGGAGGTGTGAGGAGTGGGGAGGTGTGTGGGAGTGGGGGAGGTGAGGAGTGGGGAGGTGAGGAGTGGGGGGTGAGGAGGGGGAGGTGGAGGAGGAGGAGTGGGGGTGAGGAGGGGGGGATGGAGGAGGTGGGGTGGAGGAGTGGGGGTGGAGGAGGGAGGTGAGGACTGGGATGTGAGGGAGTGGGGAGGTGGGGAGGGGGAGGAGGAGGGGAGAGTGTGAGGAGGGAGGTGGAGGTGTGAGGGTGGGGGGGGAGTGGGGAGAGGAGGAGGAGGGAGGTGAGGAGAGGATGAGGAGTGTGGGGGGGTGGGGAGGGGGGGTGAGGGTGGGGGTGTGGGAGGGTGGGGGTGGGGGGTGGGGGAGGAGGGGGTGTGAGGGGAGGGGAGAGTGGGGGTTTGAGGAGGTGGGAGGAGTGGAGGTGAGGGGGGTGGAGGAGGGGGTGGAGGAGGGGGGGGTGGAGGAGTGGGGGTGTGGAGGAGGTGGGGGTGGAGGAGGGGAGGAGGGGGGTGGGGAGTGGGGAGGGGGAGGTGGAGGGGGAGGTGTGTGGGGAGTGGGGGGGGGAGGAGGGGAGTGTGGGAGGGGGTGGGGGTGGAGTGGGGGGGAGGGGGGAGGTGGGAGGAGTGGGGAGGTGGAGGAGTGGGGGGGGGTGAGGAGGGGGAGTGTGGAGGAGGGGGGTGAGGAATGGGGAGGAGGGGGGATGGTGAGGAATGAAGGGAGAAATTGAGGAAGAGAATTGCTGTATTATGAGGACAAAAGCGAAGGGTGAAGTGATCTCAAGCTGGATTTGGAGATAGGGAGGAGAGGAGGAGAGGAGAGGGAGAGAGGAGAAGAGGAGAGGGGGGGGAGAGGAGAGGAGGAGAGGAGGAGAGAGAGGAGAGAGGAGAGGAGAGGAGAGAGAGGAGAGGAGGAGAGAGAGGAGAGGAGAGGAGAGGAGAGAGAGGAGAGGAGAGGAGAGGGGAGAGACGAGGAGAGGAGAGCTAAGAAGAAAGGAGATAGATTGGGAATAGAGAAGAGGAGAGAAAGATAAAGGATAAAAGGAGAAGACAAGATAGAGGGGAGAAAGAGGAGAGGAGAGGAAGGGGAAGAGGGGAAACTAATGACTGGAAAATTAAAAGGAATTCCACTGGACTTAATCCCGACGTGATTAAAGAGTTACTGTGTGTGTGTGTGTGTATGACTATCTATATGTATGTCGGTATGTATGTATGTATGTATGTATGCATGAATGTATGTATGTATGTATGTATATGTATGTATATGTCACCATCAATCCATCACCCTTATAGTGTTTGTTACATTTGTATTCACGAATTTAATTAACATTTGTGTAAATTTATTGGTATATGATAATTGACGCCATCTGTCCGTACCATATGTTTCTCTGTAATGACCCAGAGTGAACGTGTTTATGACGAGTTGACTGAATATCTATCTATCTATCTATCTGTATCATTCTTTATCTTATTTTCTCATATTTGCTCTTACTTTATCTTAATCTATCTCCTTTTATCTTTAATATCTTTTATCTTACGGACCTCTTCTCTGTTTACACCTCACAGCTGATACACGTCACAGGGGTCCACACAGGCAGACAGGTAGACCTAACTCACCCCGTGGCGCCTCACTGGACACCCAAGACGGAGTGTTATTGGTTGCCGGTCAGTGTTAGTGTGTGGGTGTGTGTGGGTGTGGGTGTGTGTGTGTGTGTGTGTGGGTGTGTGTGTGTTAGTGTGTGTGTGTGTGTGTGTGTGTGTGGATTGCTGAAGCGTTTTAAATTTTATAACAGTCAGTGTGAGTGGATGGAAAATTTTACGATGCACTTAACAAAGAAAGCATTTGAATTAGTTTTGTTTTTGTGTGTGTGTGCATCTCTCTCTCTCTCTCTCTCTTCTCTTCTTCTCTCTCTCTCTCTCTCACACACAGTCGTCATGCCTTTATCACTGTTCCTAACTTTACTATTGATCTCATCTTCACTGGGATCTGCATAATAGTGGCTCCCCTTCCTGTGAACTGTAGGAGGGGGAAGAGAGGGAACGAATGGAGGGGAGGAATGGACCGGAGGATGAAGGGGGTGAGGGAAAGAGAGGAGGGAGGGAGGGAGGGAGGGAGGGAGGGAGGATGATTGAAGGAGGGAGGAAAGGGAGGAAGAAAGATGAGAGAGAGAGAGAGAGAGCGAGAGTGAGAGAGAGAGAGAGAGAGAGAGAGACAGAGAGAGAGAGGGGGGGAAAAGTGAAGAGGAATGGAAAGGAATAAGAAAAAGAAGTGAGGGAGATAGAGAGAATGGAGGAGATAAGAAAGAAAATAGAAGATAATAAGAGAGAGATTATGAAAAGAAAGAAGGAAGAGTGTGAGGGGGAAGATGGAGAGAGACAGACACACAAATACACAGAAAGACAGAATGACTCACATAAAGAGACAGACAGACAAAGAGACAGAGACAGGAAGAGAGACAAAGAGACAGAGAAATAATCTGTAAGAGGGACAAAATGCATCTCTCTCTCGCTCCACTTGATGAACAGGAGAGAGAAGCCGCGACGAGAAAAGACTTCATCAAAGGAAAGCCACAGAGTTCAGATGGCCGAGTGTGTGTAGTAGTAGTAGTAGTAGTAGTAGTAGTAGTAGTATCATCATTATCATCATCATCATCATTATTACTAACGATATAAACAATACATCTCTGACCACACCCTGTACCACACTCTGTACCACACTCACGGAGGAAGTTTATAAACCCACATGCATTGCCACACACTCACTGCTGTAAACACGGTCTTAGTTGATACAGCCACACGTGATGTTTACCTGGAGGGGCTGATAAGGGTCTACCTGTGTGTGTGTGTGGGTCTGTCTGGTGGTGGAGGAACCCTGGTTTGTGTGTGTCTGTGTGTCAATTTTCATAAATGGTTGTCTGTATGTCTGTATGTCTGTATGTCTGTTTGTTTTTCTAGTTTTTCTATCTACTTGTCTCTCAAGTCTCTCTCTCTTTCTCACTATTTTTTCTCTTTCCACTCTCCCTCACCCTTATTACCCCCTCCCCTCTCTCCCTCTTTCTAAACCTCCCTACAGTGTCAGGACAGCACAGTGTCAGGACAGTACAGTGTCAGGACAGTACAGTGTCAGGACAGTACAGTGTCAGGACAGTACAGTGTCCTTGAACTATTTTAATTTAACTTTATAATGCAATATTTGTGTAGGTAATTTATTGAAGTAATTTATCCCAGTGAGTTAATATGATGAGTGATGATGAACACAGTCGGTATTGTTGATTTCTGCACTATAATTTACACCATATTGATTACCTGCAAGGGGGGTGGCGGGGGGCTGATTGAGAGATTAAGGGGTGATGGAGGGAGGGCCTCACTGTGTGGTTAAGGGGTGGTGGGGGTAAGGGTGGGGGGTCACGTGGTTAAGGGCGGTGTGTGGTAAGGGGGGTGGGTGGTGGTGGTGGGGTAAGGGTGGGGGTCACTGTGTGGTTAAGGGGTGGTGGGGGGTAGGGTGGGGGGTCACTGTGTGGTTAAGGGTAGTGGGGGTGGTGGGTCAGTGGTAAAGGGTGGTGGGGGTGTGGGGGTCACTGTGTGGTTAAGGGGTGGTGGGGGGTAAGGGTGAGGGGGGTCACTGTGTGGTTAAGGGGTGGTGGGGGTAAGGGTGGGGGGGTCACTGTGTGGTTAGGGAAGACGCCTCACTGGACACATCTGACTGAAGCTTTTGTTTGATCTCCTCCAACACTTTTATTTGTTCAAGGGAAAAATAATTATAACAATGGGAAGAGACCTGAGACACATCTTTATCACACATCTTCCTCAAGAATCTTCCTCACGCCCCCTCCCTCACACATCTTCCTCACACCCCCTCCCTCACACATCCTCCCTCACTCCTCACTCTCCACACCTGTCGGCATACCTGGACGGATCTACCAGCGATCATCTTAAAAGACCATTACCCTGACCTGTGTGTGTTCAGAAGGGGGCTGTGAGAGTGTTGCTGCAATTCTGTGACAACCAACGACCGACACACACACACACACACACCCATCGTCTCCAGGTAAGTTCACGGAGTCAGAAGTTATATATCATGTCCAATAAAGTCAATAATAAATAGGATATAAACGTGTCTGGAACTGTATACAAACACGTTCAGAACTTGTGGAGAATATGACACTAATAACACGCTGAGAACTGGTTAAGTATTGACGTGAAATGATTATAGAAAGGGTTAATGTTGTATTTGAAACTTATGGGTAAGTGAAATAATAGAATGTTGTACAGGACACGTCTTAACTAGTACTGAATATATAAACAATATATTTTTCATATATATACACACACACAGTACAAGAGACCAACTAACACTCACCCGCCAGGAAGGAGTAGAGATGAAATGGGACAGAAATGAGGGTCGCCGACAGCCCCGTCAGAGCCAGAAGACCTACGACCCTGTCCACCTGAAGGGGAGTACGACCCCAGGGCCTCCAGAGGAATACCACCATCACCATCAGGTTACCCACCACACCCACCACCAGCACCACCACCGCCGTTAGTTCCGTCGCCACGCCCACCTCCACCATCTGGTAGGGAGGTGTGAGGGAGGAGTTGGTGGAGGCGGACATGTTGTAGAAGGGATCCTCCATTAGCTCCTCCTCCTCTGGTGTTAGGTCATCTAAGGTCACTGAGGCGGTGGGCATAGTTGAGGAGGTCATTGTCCAGTTATAGATGCCGGTACTTTCCTCTAACGCCATTATATCACAGGAGGTCACAGGATGAGCCAACGTAACATGACACACACACCAGGTCATACAAGGTCACTGTATACCATCGTGGAGACTGGTTAAGATAATGCCACTTTTAATATATTTCTAACATTCACTATACAATTTTTTTCCCTCACGTCAAGACAATACAACAAACTTCGCCTTTGTGTCTTTATCAACAAATATATTTCTGTTTAAAGAAAATAAGTAAGTAAATAAGAATTATTTTTCTTTACTCCACAAGAAACAACTTTTTTCATTGATTTAAAACATCCAAAACAACTTTGTCTTGAGAAAATAAACTATATCTCGTCTTGAAGAATAAACTCAGGATATATTTCAGTATATTTCATCAGTATCTCAGTCTGGTTTTAAAATAAATCTTGAGGAATATAATCAGAATATTTCTCACTATTTCGTTCAGTTTCTCAATAGAATGAACAGTCAAGTCATTTAATCTTGTAATAAAAAGAAAGCTTAGTGGCTGACGATGACGCGTGTGGGATTAATGGTGGTGGTGGTGAAATTATAGAGTTCTTTGTGGTGGTGCTGTGTGAGGGTGGTAGTGGCAGGGGTAGTGGTGGGGGTAGGAGGGATGGCAGTGGTGGGGTTTGATATATATAAATGGGGTAGTGGTGGTGAGAATATATTGACGTAATGAGGAAAAACTCAGGTGAGTGGTTAAAACTCAGCTCCTTTTGCCGATAAACAAACCCAGTGACCTTAATACTAGATATACAGTAGTTAAGGAGAGAGAGAGAGAGAGAGAGAGAGAGAGAGAGAGAGAGAGAGATGAAGAGAAAGAGAGATTAATATTGCTGTCCTGATGCTGTGTTAAGTCGTAACAGCTTGAGCTCCCTGATACAACCTCGGCGTTATTACCAATTTCTAGTAGAGAGGAAAGACGAGGAATGTAATAATAATAATAATTAACGGATTATTGAAAAAGTTATGCAACCCGAAGGCTGAAAATATACATTAGACATAAATTACTTATTACTTACATTGGTTTAACAAAAGCCTTCATTAGAGAAAGGTAAAGGAACATACAGATTAATGTTTACAGTGGAGGTCACGTAGATCATGTGAGCTGAGCTGTTGAACAGCAGACACTTAGTGTAGTAACTCCTTCACAGATGGTGTTATGACGGGCATCAAGTGGTGTAGTAGTTCCCTCATAGGTGGTGTTATGAGGGGCTTCACGTGGTGTAGTAATTCCCTCACAGATGGTGTTATAAGAACATAAGAAAATAAGGAGTCTGCAATAGGCCGGTTGGCCTGTGCATGGCAGCTCCTGTCGAGAGTTACTACCACTCTCTATCATCCATGAATCTATCTAGCCTCCTTTTAAAACTTTCCAGCGTTTCAGCACATACTACAAAGTTGCTAAGCTTGTTCCACTCGTCCACCACCCTATTTGTGAACCAGTTCCTTCCAATCTCCCTCCTAAACCTAAACTTATCCAACTTAAATCCGTTGCTCCGAGTCCTATCCTGCTCGGATATTATAAGAACTTTATCTATATCGCCTTTATTGATTCCTTTCACCTACTTAAAAACTTCTATCATATATCCCCGCACTCTTCGTCTTTCTAGGGAATGCAAGTTTAGTTTCTTTAACCTATCTTGATATGGAAGGTTTCTAAGTCCCGGAATCATTTTCGTCATTCTTCGCTGCACCGACTCCAGTGAATTGATATCCATTCTATAATAAGGGCACCAGAAATGAACCACATAATCGAGGTGCGGCCTGACTAGCGCAAGATATAGTTGCAATAAGACCTCTGCACTCTTATTACTTACACTTCTAGATATAAAACCTAATACTCTGTTTGCCTTATTTCGAACAATAACGCACTGTTTTCTAGGCCGTAGGTCCGGGCTTACAAGTACCCCTAAGTCTCTTTCACAAGTCGACTTCTTTAGGTTGATGTTGTTAAGGCTGTATACATTATAAGTATTTGTTCTTCCAATATTCAGTACGCTGCACTTGCTGGTGTTGAATTTCATTTGCCATATTTCTGACCACTCTTGCAGTTTATTTAAATCCTCCTGTAGTGCATTTGCATCCTGCCCTGAATTAATCTGCCGCCCTATTTTGGTGTCATCCGCAAACTTGCTTATGTCACTGCTGATCCCAGTATCTAGATCGTTATGAGGACCTGATGTGGTGTAGTAATTCCCTCACAGATGGTGTTGTGAGGAGCCTCACATGATGCTGTAGCAACTCATTCATTACGTGGTGTCGTAGCATCATGGGGACACCACGTGGTCTGGTATCACAGGACCTCACTCACTCAAGTGAGGAGAGGTCCCAGGCCTCCCTATCGTGGACGGATTAAAACATAGCTGGTGTTGTTGAGTCTCAGGGGCAGTTATCACTGGGTACCTGGGACCTCACTGTGTGAAGGTTAACTTGGGTACGACTCAGCTGTTACTGTTAAGTTGTTTTTCACTGACTTGAGCACTGTTCACCACTATTTAACACTCGTTCCATTCCTTTCCTAAATGAAATAGTAACTTCTGGCGAGAACTTGTTGATATTCCGGAGGGGAGGAGGGGTTCAGGGGGGGGGATGGGCCAACATAACAGTTGACCTGGCTGCTGCCAGAACAGCGCCAGGTACGTCTTGAACCTTCGGTGGTCAAGGATGAAGTGTGTGTGTGTGTGTGTGTGTGTGTGTGTGATGAGCCTTGGAGTCACTCAATCAGCAGGGGACAAGTTCTGTCTTTTGTTGACACAGTGGTCCTGCTGCTTCCAATCCTCGCCTCCAGATTAACGTTTTGATGACATAAAGGCTATTGATTGGTGGAGATGGGTGACGAAGATTACATGATTACCTATGATTGGCAGAGAGGAATGGCGTAGGTTACAGGAATACCCATGATTGGTGAAAAGGTGTGACGTAGGCAAAAGAAAAGGCTATGATTGGTGGAAATGTGACGTAGAATCGTAGATAACAGGAAATTCCATGATTGATTGAAATATATGACGATGGTAACAGGAAAACCTATGATTGGTGGGGAGACATTATGACGAAGAGATAGAGAAACAGAGACTTTGATAAACGGACAAAAACAAAGGAGAAGAGAGATAGAGAATAAAATATAGAAAGATAGAAAGGCAAGAGACGTAATTCCCTCACACCACCTTCACCCAATTTCCCCCTCACCCCCTCCTTCCCTCACCTCCTCCTTCCCTCACTCCTCCCATCCCAGAAGATTAATTACATCTCAGGTCGACGGTAGCATACCTGACCCTCCCTACCGGATAGGTATATACATACATACACGCATACACAGTGTAGGTATAGATATGAATTAATACTACTACCGTCAACGAAAGGAGAGACAGAAAGAAACAGACAGACAGACATACAGACACTCAATAATTAATTCCCCTTATCCCCTACCTCCCCCTCTCTACCTCCCCCCTCTCTCTTCCTTCTGCCCCGCCTCTCCCCTCCCTTTACAAAAACAAGTCATTGATCTCCTCGTGTTATGGTAACTGTACAGCTCTTCCCTGTAATAAATAGGAACACCCACACAGACCGGCGCCCATACACCCATGTGAACGACCGTTACAATGTTTATGGCACTTGTCAGACCAGATGGACACAATTAGTTACAGCCTCAAAGAATAACATGTAAACCAATATGGGGTGCCATAGCCCCGCCCATACAGTGTGCCAACCAATCAGGGTAACAGAACATAAGGACCCTTGGAAAAAAACTACTATGATTGGAGACTGAAAAAGGCCTCGACAACAGGATAGGAGCGTAAAGAAAAGACAGATAGTTTGGCTGTTGAAGTGTGGGGGTGAGGTTCCTGTGTGTGGCCCGGCGACCGTCCATACTGAAGGATAGGTAATGTGCACCTACTGTTTTCTCTTTAGTTCTGCGGGTGTATAGAGCTCCATCCCCACGGTATCTAGTTAAAAATAGGATGAACGCAGGTGCCCTCACGTCGCCTCCTTGCTGAATAAGCTTAAATGGAAAATGTCCTTTTCCACTACCCCTCCTAACTAATACATTAATCTAAAACAAAGGGTTCCCCCAGTAACAGATGGATGGATACCAAAATGTACATAGAGTCAAGTGACCCCCTTTAGTAACTACAGTACCATCCCGACTGAGTAAAGTAGGTAGACGCAAAACCTTTTGTTATATCCCCTCCCACGGGCAGGGATAAATAGACGGGTTAATTAAAAACGAAATTACCACACGGACAGGTGTGTTAAAATCCCTCTAATATATTAACCCCTGTGTGTGTGTGTGTGTGTGTGTGTGCGTTGCCTGTTATATACACCAACATTGTGGGTGGATTACATAAGAATGGAGGAAACTGCAGCGGGCCTATTGACCCATACTGGGCAGCCCCGTTTACACCCAACCCCTATCACTCATATATCCATCCAGCCTATTGTTTGAAGCTATCCAGCGTGTTCGAGTTAATGATGATGTTTGGTAACTTGTTCCAGTCGTCCAAACCAATGTTTACCTATCTCGCGCCTAAAACTAAATTTGTCCAATTTTAAGCCATTGCTATGAGTTCGCTCCTGGTTGGATAGTTTTAGTACCTTTGTTTTATCACCTTTGTTTAGCCCTGACTTCCATTTATACACCTCTATCATATCGCCCCTCACTCTACGTTAGGTTAAGTGAGATGTATATAATATGCGGTACATTAGAGCTACTACCTTCTTACCTGTCTCAAAAGTCACCTCACCTCACCTGACAAAGACTAACAAGACACCCTACTACCCCACTGAAGCTGCTACACCACAAATAATTCTCAAAAATGTTTACGTGGAAAATGTTCTCGCCTCTTAAAAGGAAGGTTGAGAGCACGACTAATTGGTTACCTGTAGTCTCGACACAAAGGCGAGAGGAAATACTGTGCTCACCTGAAGAACAGCCACCCCAGAACATACTGAGACTTCCATAACAACATTCATTTAAGAGGATATGCACAAAATGGCTGCCAAAGTGTACCGAGACAATAATAACAATAACTATTACAGGTGTTGTGACACTATTACAGGTGTTGTGACACTATTACAGGTGTTGTGACACTATTACAGGTGTTGTGACACTATTACAGGTGTTGTGACACTATTACAGGTGTTGTGATACTATTACAGGTGTTGTGACACTATTACAGGTGTTGTGACACTATTACAGGTGTCGTGGCACTATTACAGGTGTTGTGACACTATTACAGGTGTTGTGACACTATTACAGGTGTTGTGACACTATTACACTATTACAGGTGTTGTGGACTATTACAGGTGTTGTGACACTATTATGTGTCGAGGTGTTGTGACACTATTACAGGTGTTGTGACACTATTACAGGTGTTGAGGCACTATTACAGGTGTTGTGACACTATTACAGGTGTCGAGGCACCATTATGTGACACTATTATGTGTGTTGTGATGCACTATTACAGGTGTTGTGACACTATTTCAGGTGGCGTGGCACTATTACAGGTGTTGAGACACTATTACAGGTGTCGTGGCACTATTACAGGTGTTGTGGCACTATTACAAGTGTTGTGGCACTATTACAGGCGTTGTGGCACTATTCCAAGTGTTGTGGCACTATTACAAGTGTTGTGGCACTATTACAGGTGTTGAGACACTATTACAGGCGTTGTGGCACTATTACAGGTGTTGTGGCACTATTACAAGTCTTGTGGCACTATTGCAGGTGTTGTGGCACTATTACAGGCGTTTATTGGCACTATTATGGCACTATCAAGTGTTGTGGCACTATTACAAGTGTTGTGGCACTATTACAGGTGTTGAGACACTATTACAGGCGTTGTGGCACTATTACAGGTGTTGTGGCACTATTACAAGTCTTGTGGCACTATTGCATGTCTTGTGGCACTATTACAGGCGTTGTGGCACTATTACAGATCTTGTGGCACTATTACATGTCTTGTGGCACTATTACAGGTGTTGAGACACTATTACAGGCGTTGTGGCACTATTACAGGTGTTGTGGCACTATTCCAAGTGTTGTGGCACTATTACAGATCTTGTGGCACTATTGCATGTCTTGTGGCACTATTACAGGTCTTGTGGCACTATTACATGTCTTATGGCACTATTACAGGACTTGTGGCACTATTACAGGACTTGTGGCATTATTACAAGTCTTGTGGCACTATTACAAGTTATGTGGCACTATTACAGGTCTTGTGACACTATTACTGCTTATTACACCTGAAGATTAACCACCCTAACGCTACCTGAGGGATTTGGTTAGGTTAGGTCAGCGTTAGGTTAGTGTTAGGTTAAGTTTGTGTTAGGTCAGTGTTAGGTTAGGTTAATGTTACGGTTGTTAATCTCATGGTGAAATAAGCTGGGTTGGCTAATCTTCAGGTGATCCCAATCCTGACTCCTGAGTCGGTGTCATGTGTGTGAGTCAGCTCTAACACTCTACCTAAACATTAATTTACAATCCTTTGAGAATATGAGGCGATGTATTACGTGCTCACCTCCATGTGTACATGTCGGGTCATGTGCACATGTAAGCGAAACACGCACACATCTCACACACACACACACACATACATTGGAGTAAGACACGTACATATACTATGTACACATTCGAGACACTATACATCCACGCTAGATGTACATACACGATTGAGATACATACGAATCTATGTATACACACACACACACACCCGAGAATCCGATACTTACACGCTCGATATACATGCACATACGGTACCAAAATGCGGACACAGGATGGCAAGAATGTACACACACTTCCCGCGAGGTTCAACACGGCACAGATGTACACCAATGACCGGGGTACACAGAGTGACGGCGCGTGAGGGAGCGACGTCCTCACCTTGCCGCGGCTGGCACACGACTGGCCTCCTGGACCTGGCACCTCCCCACCCCACCTACACCCACCTACACCCACACACACACCACCTCCCCACCCACCACCTCCGACACCCAAACCAACGTTACTATTTCCTTCTATTTAATGGATATTTCTTTGATCCTGGGGAAATTTAGGCGACCGGGGGAAATCTCTGGAGATAAAGAACATTTCAGAGTACTCTCTCTCTCTCTCTCTCTCTCTCTCTCTCTCTCTCTCTCTCTCTCTCTCTCTCTCTCTCTCTCTCTCTCTCAGTATATATTCAACAAACAACTAAATCAATATAGGAATAATAATGTATTTTTATAACACTAAATTATGTCAACTCTTTATATTTGTAATGAGTGAATATCAGACCAAAGCTTACAGCCCAAAATTACATCACATATAACAGCAAGTACAGTACAGACCGCGTGGTACCCTAACACCACAGGTTGACACACCGCAGGTCACGACCTGACCCCGGCCTAAGTACTTGCGTAACCCTACGATATAACCGTGTTAAGGAAACCACACCTGGCCAAGACCCACCCGGGCGGTAATAATTACAAAGCACCATTGTCCTGCGACATGACCTCACCTGTCCAGACCTGACCCAAGGCAGATCAAGGACCCGCTAATCAGCCACACCCCTGTTACCCACCCCAACAACCCGGTCAAGACACACCCACTTAAGTAGGAGAGGTCACCCTCCCGCTCCTCCAATATATAGGGGCTGGAGCTCCTCCCACCTGCAAGAGTCTGATAACCAAGGAGGGCCAGCAACCACGTCCCCTGTCCCGCTCATCAAAGAAGTCCGTCGCTGAAGGCAACGAGGTCTCCGCCGGGTCCATCGACAGAGTGCTGTCAGTTCAACGTGTTACAGTAAGTGCTGGCTGTGTAGGCGGTAGAAGTGCAGTGATCCCGAACCTTCCAACGATCGACTTAGTGAAGTGCCCATTCGACTTGTGAAGTTAAACGAACATATCATAGTCTATCATACCCTGTGTACGAGTCCCCCCATTAATGCCTCCTATGCAACTAGTAAATAAAGCTGTAACACGCATTAGTGTTTTATATACTACACTTGTACTGAGCCTGTGTTGATATACGGAGTCACCCCCCACACCCTCGAGACACGCTACCAAACTTCCTGTCTTTACATCCTTCTACTATAAATATTCTACCTATATGTAATATCCTCTTCTGGTGAGTTTTGTCTCATTACATATTTATTTGATATTATTAGTTTTACACTACAATAAATGTTGTATTTTTTTATAATGGTTGGTTTGGGTGTATGGTTAGGTTAGGTTATAAGGTAAAGTTTATTGATGAGTAATACATATATGGCGGACTGTTTATTAAAGCTAGTTTATTCTCTCTCTCTCTCTCTCATTTACAGTTTATGAATACTTCTTATTGGTAAACTAACCGTCACGTGACCAGAGCCAATAACAGGTGTTCTAGTTTTCTATCCGGCGTTCTGATTGGTCAATTTAATTCATTGTTGCTAATAGTATTTGGTTTTCTTATCCGGGTCACTCTCGAACTCGTGGACGTCCTCCTTCATCCCTTAGCGGTCAACCTTGATGGTGTAGGGTTAGTTTGAGGCTTTAAACATCATCAAGGCTGACGTGTATCTAGAGGTCGACTTCGAGGGGTTAGGCATGTCGTTTGAGATCGGTGAGGTCGTCCTTGATGTCTTGAAGGTGTTTATTTATCAATGGTCCTACTTGACATCCTCGACATCCTGCTTGACACCCTCAGCATCGACCATGACGTCTTGAAGGTCGACCTTGTCTTCTGCCTTGGGTCCTGAGGTGTTCTCCCTCTTGTTGGTCGGTCCTGAGAGAGAGAGTTAGTTATTAAATTTCTTTCTCTCTCTCTCTCTCACATGTTATATATATATATATATATATATATATATATATATATATATATATATATATATATATATATATATATATATATATATATATATATAAATACTGAACATAATATCAATACAGTGACACCTCTATTTAACGGACTATATCGAGATGAAAGTCCGTTATATCAAGGATCCGTTAGAAGCAATACCTCCTTCTAACGGATTCTATGGAGAGAGAAATCCGCTATATCGAGAGTTACACTATTGGTCATATCTTGTATCTCTAGTTAATAGAATATGACACCTAGATAACCCAAGGTATTTATTAAAGCTAGTCTCTCTCTCTCTCTCTCTCTCTCTCTCTCTCTCTCTCTCTCTCTCTGGTTAACTCAAGTATTATAGAGTCTCACTTGAAGGTTGAAGAAGGAGCTTTTCGAGGCGGAGTATTGGTGACTCTGAGAGAAGTGTTATCACCACTGCTACCAAACTGACACCAAGCATCACCCCACACGTCTCCATGATCTGGGGTGTGTAAGTTTAGGTTAGGTAAATGGTTAATATGTTAATTATTGTTACTTATTATTCATATGCTGTTAAAAATTGTAAAATATGATGACTATTTGTGAATTTTAAAATTTTGTGGGGTGTAGGTCGATTTAGTGGGGGTGTAGGTCGACTTAGTAGGGTGTATGTCGATTTACTAGGGTGTAGGTCGATTTTGTGGGGTGTAGGTCGATTTACTAGGGTGTAGGTCGATTTTGTGGGCTGTAGGTCGATTTATTGGGGGTGTAGGTCGACTTAGTAGGGTGTAGGTCGATTTACTAGGGTGTAGGTCGATTTTGTGGGCTGTAGGTCGATTTAGTGGGGTGTAGGTCGACTGTATAATGTGGGGTGTAGGTCGATTCAGTGAGATGTGTAGGTCGAGTTACCTTAGTGATGTGACTGTAGTAGGTAGGTTGAGGGATAGAGTAGAGGAACATGAACTGAATAGGTAGACTTGTGAGGTAGATGCAGTACGTCAGTCTACTCAGGGGCTGCCAACTGGGGTGGGACAGAAGCCAGTCTACCGGACCTGTGGGGAATACATAGACCCTTGTAGCCTCTATGGTATAAGATCAGCCCCCAGTACTCACCCCTGTAGCCCCAATAGCAAAAGATCAGCCCCCAATACTCACCCCTGTAGCCCCAATAGCAAAAGATCAGCCCCCAATACTCACCCCCGTAGCCCCAGTGACAGGCTACCACCATCCAGGACACAGCTGCCGCCCAAGCCGCCCTGTGAGCACCGCCGTACAGCACCGCCTCCGTCAGCGACATCTGCGGTACAGTGGTCGTCGTCCCCACAAAGTTGTATCGCTCGATCCCTAATAACACCGCCAGGGCCACCGCCACCGCCGCCGCCCACCCCGCCGCTACCTGCCACTGTCACAACCACAACCACGTCAACGTCACAACCACAACAACACGTGTCTGTCTGTCTGTGTAAATCAGGTATTGTTTCCACTCTACACATGATCAACTATATACCTGTATGGTCTATAATTATACAGGATGATTATGATAATTATTATTATTATTATTATTATTATTATTATGATTTACGCATTGGTTTCTCCTGTAAACAACTGACTAAGAAAATATTAATCTTCTGTCGTTCATGATGAGAGAAAAAGAACAATATTCCGACTCTTAGGACCAACTAAAGTATTTGTATTTAACACAAGAGACTGTCGCAACTCACCCACTGGAGGCGCGTCAAGCTGGGGGTCTCCCTGCCTCTGTGTAGTAAGTACCCTGTCAGTATACCCACCATATACGGTCCAGCTCTACACCAGGGCGTCAGATACACTTTATAGTTGTATTCCAAACTGGCCTCGACGCTGAAATGGGAAATAAAGCGATAATTACTGACTTCTGCAGCCTCCTCTCCGTCACTGAGGGCCTGACTACACCTCGACCACGCCACCACCTGCGTATAGCTCCTCCTGACTAACTTTTCCTCTCCTATCAACTGTTCCCCAGCTTTATGAAGGATATTCTTCTCAAATTGGCCTCATTTATTAACCACTAACGACCCAACTGCCTCTATTTGTTACTCTAATTGGCACCTTCTTTGGGATTCATGATAACCTAGTCGGGTTTGATCTAACAGTTAGGATAATACCAACCACAAACTTTACCCGTTGTTCAATCCATCAGCGTCTTATATCCATTACCTGTCCTTGTCCACATCATCCAGGTAAAACTGTTTCTCACCAAACACCCTTGTGGTCGCTGGGTGAAGCACTGAACGCTGTGTGTGTGTGTGTGTGTGTGCGTGTGCTTGCAGGAGATAGAGGTGCTTGTGTGGGGATTGGGGGTGTTTTGAGGGGGTGGGGGGATAGTGCCTTGCCCGCATCGTCTTGTTCATGAGCTGAGGTGATTCCCGCGTTTATTGTATTGTATTTCTAACATGTGGGTATGTTGCAAGATTGTGTGTGTGTGTGTGTGTAATCGTCTGTTGTCTGACATACACACGCTTACACTCAGGTACACACACTTACAGACCCACCTACACACCCACTTCCACCCACTTACTCGTCCATAAGGAGAAGGCTGGCAGGCCATACGTTATACACTCCCACGATGATGGCAGGAACCACCACCGACACGCCCATCCACGCCCACACCCACACTAGACCTGTTGGAGGGCGGGAGAGAAAGAAAGAAAAGTTTAGTCATTTTTTATTACTCTTTATGTTATCTTATCTCATTATTTAATTACTGTACATTACTGTTATTAGTTACGATAAAAGTCCCTTGACTATTATGACACCACTGGCACTAACCTGACACCACTGGCACTAACCTGACACCACTGGCACTAACCTGACACCCCTGACACTTACCGTGCTTAGGCCGGAATAAAAGGGGCAGCAGCACTAGTGGGGTGACCAGGTAAAGTTGCATATCAACGGCGACGAACCAACAGTGAGGCAGACACTGTAATGTAGGCGGTGGTAAGTGATTTACACACACACACACATACACACACACACACACACACACACACACACACACACATACACACACACATACACACACACATACACACACACATACACACACACATACACACACACACTTGGAAACACTCACAGTCGATCCTTCATCCGTCTTTCCCATCTCCGCCAGGTGAGGGAAGATGAAGTTACTACTGAAGGTGAGATCCATCCACCAGGAGTGTCTGCAGCCCTTCAGGTAGTAGGTGGTGTACTGGCGAGACAAGGGGCCCCCGACCACCAGCCCTGAGAGCGTGGCCATCAGCGCTACCGTCACAGCGATGGGTGGCAGTAACCTGAAGGTGATGAGGGCGAGGTGTTTGATAGTTTGTTATGAAGGTCTCTCTCTCTCTCTCACACCACTCTCCTTCTCTCTCTCTCTCTCTCTCTCTCTCTCTCTCTCTCTCTCTCTCTCTCTCTCTCTCTCTCTCTCACACACACTCTCTCACTCCCCCTACTGACCTGATGACCCTGTGGATGTAATAGAGAGGAGCGTTGAACCTGCCCGTGGTGGAGTACTGCCTGAGGACTCCCAGGGACACCAGCAGGCCGCTCATGAAGAAGAAGGTGTCCACGCTCAGGTCGCCGTTTCCGATGATCTGGAACCCCACCGCCTTGCTCATCTGTGTTAGAGAGAGTGTGTGTGTTAGTCCAGAGAGAGAGAGAGAGAGAGAGAGAGAGAGAGAGAGAGAGAGAGAGAGAGAGAGAGAGAGAGAGAGAAGACGTACCTGTACAATATCCAGCGGGTTCTGGGCAGCCTGGGCGGAGTAGAGGTACTGGTGGCCCATCACGACCCACGTAATCGACAAGAACCTGCAAGTAAACCTTACGCTCATTGGTTGATCCCTAGAGTTGGCTTCTAAACACGACGCTGATTGGCTAAGGAACTGTATATGCTTTTGAGTGAGAGTAAGTGATTGAGTGAGTGAGTTAGTGACGTACCTGACACCATGGAGGCAGGAGATGACGTGAGGTGAGGGGTGAGTCTCCAGGAGGAACAGCTTTTGCAGGTTGTGGGTCACTGAGAACACCAGCAGATACCTCAACCTACCTGGGTGTGGCAGGTGGTGATAATAATAAGGTAATCAAATGGCGGCGAAGGTGTGGTTATTGGGGGAGGCTGGAGGCCATGGCTTAAAAAAATAATATTAATAGTAAGATCACTACTACTACTACTAAACTACTACTACTACTACTACTAAACTGCTACTACCACTAATAATAATAATAACAATAATGAAAATAATAACAACAAACACAACAGCTAGACATTCACTCACCTTCCTTTAGCGGGGTTCGATTGGGTGAGCTCGTCCATAGGTCCAACACGGTAGCGGCCAGCAACACCACACCCATTATACTGAACAACACACTAAACCAATTCTCTCGTTAGTGTCAACCTTAACTACATGAGTGGGTAGTTAGTGCCATATTGACGTCACTAGTACACTTCTCGTAACTACTGTATACGCAATTGAGTTGTTATATTTGATAATTTATTTACTAATTAACTAATGATAATTAAAATAGGCATGAAATTCGTTTAATATATTTAGGTAATAATTGGGCTGTTTGGATATGATTTAGACAGACATTGAGAGAAGAAGACAGACAGATAGACAGACATAGAGAAAGAAATAGACAGACAGAAAGAAATAGACAGACAGATAAATAAGCAGACAGATTGACAGACAGACAGAAAGATATAGACAGACACAGATAAATAAGTAGACAGAGATTGACAGATACAGACAAACACAGCGAGAAAAATATAAACAGAGAAAGACAGACAAAGAGAGAGAGAGAGACAGAGAGAGAGAGACAGAGAGAGACAGGTGGAAGAGTACTCACCTGCCGACTATCTCAGGTGTGCCCAGGTGGTGGTGTGGACTATCTACCTGACAGTCTACTTCATCTAACTGTAGCTCCGTCCCTCCTACAGCTGCCTCCACTGATGTCTGTAAGTGTGTAGCTATTGTTATTGTAGTAGTAGTAGTAGTAGTTGTAGTAGTAGTATTGTAGTGGTGGTGATAGTAATGGTTATGGTATTGGCGATAGTGGTGGAGAAGAAATAAAAAATATTAATTAATAATACTCCACTAACCTTCAATTCGGTGGAGGTACAGGTGGAGGGGATACAGGTGGAGTAGTAGAATAGAGCAGCTAGTGACAGAGGTAGACGGGTAGAGATGGATGGCATGGCTGGTTCTGTCTCCTGGTATCTCTGCTGTCTCGAGCTAGTATATGTAACGTCACTACTAGCGTTCTCTCTGTCACATAAATACCACTTCCTTGAGACACTAACACACTTTATTATTTACTTTACACTTAAGAGGCATCGGTTAAGTGTAAAAATAAGTGGTATTCAAGGTATATAATAAATAATGTCCCGTGCTCCAACACACCGCGCTGGGACAAGACTAACGGGGTGATGGGTGGGGGGTGGGGAGAGCTGTGGGGGTCTTACAAGCACACTGTGGCGGGGGATTTGAACTGATACATGACACCGTGTATACATGATCTGGTATACATATGGTAATCTATGTATACATCAGCTTACAATTAGGTTTAAAGTGCAGTTATATGATCTTTTAATTACAGTTTCACGAGTTTTTGTATTTGGTTTGGTTAGGTTAGCATTAGGGTGTTTAAGTTTGATGTAAAATAAGCTGGGGTGCCTAATCTTCAGGTAACAGTGACACATGACACTTACCTGAAGTTAAGGACACAGTACTGTCCCCGGAAATTAGCGTTCAGCACAATATCTTCGTTGTTAAAACCTGCCGTGTGTGGAGGACGACTTTGGAGAGGTGGAGGACGACCTTGGAGATGTGGAGGGCGACCTTGAGAAAACAAAGACCCGCGTTGTGGACCATCAAAAGTGTTAAGGGGATGGTGTTGAGGACGACCTTCGAGTGTGCTATCAAGGTCTTGGAGGTCTGGGTCAAGGCTCAAGGACTCTGGTTGCACCTCTATATTGACACACTCATTCAAGAAGCCGATTATCTTGAGGTTACCGACCAACACCCCGTCAGCTGACTTACCCCAAGAATCTACCACTGAGAGGGCGAGACAGAAGGTGTTAGGTTAGATTAGGTTAGGTTAGATTAGGTTAGGTTAGGTTAGGTTAGATATACAGATGACTTAGACATGTGTAAATAAATTAACAGCCATGAGGTGTCTCCAACAAACTGTATTTACAAATTATGTGTTTGTCGGACCTGAGATGTTGTTAATATGACTTAAAGAAAAGGTTTAATTTGCCAAGACAGGTTCAAAACTTGTGAGAGCAGGATGCTAACTAGACAGAACACGTCACAGACACGTCACATGCAAGCTGGGGCTCTACATAACCACTTACACTTGAGGGGCCATAGAGTGCCATTCTTAATCAGCTGGTCAAGGTGGATGATGGCCGTGTAAAGTGCCAGGATGTCTCGGCGGCACTCCGGGTTGACCTTAGCGGGATCAGGGAGGTAGAAAGGTGCCAGGTCGATGAAGGACCACCTCGTCTTAGTCAAGGTTGACCTCCTTGACCCCGGCAGGTGGGCGGTGAACCCTGATACACGTCTGAGAGAGAAAGTGGGTGTTAAGGTTTAGTCTCTCTCTCTCTCTCTCTCTCTCTCTCTCTCTCTCTCACACACACACACACATGGTCAATCTTCCTCCTAAACTTGAGAGGAAAACACACAACTTGTCACAGTATCGTAGAGTCTCAGTGTAATGTTGACGCCAATAAGGCCGCCAACTTGTTGTGTCATAACTTTTAATCAGATAGTTATAGTCCTATCAGTTAGAATACACCATTAACTGATACAGCTTTGTGTCGTAGATTAAGTTAGAGATTTACATACGTTCTCACACCATCACTACTCGGGGGGAGATATAAACCTAACCTAACTTAACTTAACCTAATCTAACCTAATGAAACTTTAACGTTTTGATCTTTAAGAACTTATTCGTATCTTGTTTGTTGATTAATTCATTTATGTGAGTTACCTTATCAGTACAGAGATAATAGTGATAATTCCCTCCCTCTCTTTCTTATCTCACCACTCCCTCCCTCCCTCTCTCACTTCCCCTCACGTCATCTCGTAGGTCAATGAACTCCCGTCTGGATATCCTAAGGTAGATCGCTTTTTACTTCTGAATGGCGATAACCGCATCCATCTCTCTCTCTCTCTCTCTCTCTCTCTCTCTCTCTCTCTCTCTCTCTCTCTCTCTCACCTCTCAGCTTCTAAGTCCTCCATCAACACCCGCTTCAGTCTTGATATTTCCTCCAAATTCTCCTGCCTTGCCATGGGGTCATCTCCAGCACTGACCTGACTTGACCCTTCCTCTCCCCGGGTCTCAGGACTCTTACCAGCTCCCCAGTTACTCTTGACCTGGGCGTAGAGGTCACCAGGAACGGCAGAATTGAGGTCGTGACACTGAATAAGGAAGATGAAGTACAATAAGAGTATGAGTGTAATCTTCAGTGTTGACATGTTGAGCTGGAGATCGTCTGTGTGTTTGTCAAGTTATCGTTTCACCTTGTCTATTCAGATCTGATTAGTCCTGATTGTTCTCTGGTTTTTCGAGGTAAAATATCAATACTTTCTGATTTTTAAGGTAGAGTTCAATGGAATTTTACTGGGTTTTGTTCAGGTCTTACTAAAATAATTTACCTTTTCTTCTTCTGTAACTCAGTATTGCTGCGTTATGGTTGTTTGTCTATTGTTATGGTCGATTTTGATGAACACTCGTTATACTTCGTTCACTTTCGTTCACTCTTTCAGTCACCTTCGCCAGTATTTAGTGAGTATCGTCAGGGTTCCTCTGTCACCACCACCAGACCCGTGTGGTAGTGCTGTAGAAGTGTCAGGATCCACATCCAAGTTATTTTCTTAGCTTATTAACTTTATTTACTGACTTATAATTGTCGTTCCTGTCAGGTTAACTAGACATTCAGACGGTGACTCACTAGATAATATCGCCTCTGTCGTGTCAAGGCCCTCGAGTTCTTATTCTCGTCTTGCTAAATTTAAGTGATTTTTTACGTTTTTTTTTCAATGGATATCAATCTTTTTCTTGTCCTCTTTGTGATCAGCGATGGATATAACTTTTTATTTTAAATCTGTTATATTTTCCTCGATAAATATCTGTGGACTCTTGTCGTTGGGGTCTTTTAGGAAATAATGGCCAGATTGTTATTATTTTTCACTTCGATCATTTGCCTTGACTAGAGCGACTGATTTTAAACCTTCACAAAGCTAGCGCCCCCTGACGGTCACAGCCTCTACACGGTGAAGGGCGAGGGTATACTGTAAAGCACCGTCAGCAACACCTACTCCTACTCCAGTGTCGTTCTTATCGTTTCCTGGCCAGTCACGGGTTATCACACACACACACACACACACGATGGTCCAGCTTAGGTATCAGTCTGAGTGCTGCTTCGACGTCTTCTGGGGGACCGGTCAAACTCGCCTTCACATCTCCATTTATTTTTATTTTATTTTTTTTAATGTGATTAGCCCACCCAGGCACAGTTATGAGTCGCATATAATTAACAAACTTGTGGCAATACTAAACTGAAAGTATAATATATTGATAGATATTCGTATAATAGAGAGAGAGAGAGAGAGAGAGAGAGAGAGGCCACTAGAGATATGAGAGATAGTCATGTATCTCTCAGAGGGATATTGATGTATTTTTTGTTAACGTTGGTTTTATCTTTCGTATCTATGTTGCTTGACCTTCTGTGTATCCTAGTGTTGTTACCACCCATCACCACACGCCCACCACCCATAACCGCCCACCTCCACGGACCACCGCCCATCACAACACACACACACACACATACACACACACACACACCTTCACTCCTACTAAAAAAAATTGTCAGATGAAATTTGGTCATTGTATCTTGTAATTACCTGAATATTAGACACCCTAGTTTACTTCACCTTAAGATTAACCACCCTAATGCTGCCTAGGTAGGTTATATTTAAGTCAGGGATGTAACTATAACTGCGGCTGTAGTAAGTATAATGAATAACGTCATTAAAAATACTGTATAATAATAATAATAATAATTTAGTAAACTTGTCATCAGAGTCGTAAAGTAATGAAGTAACATTTTACCATTGTAACAATCCTTTTACTTAAGTAACAAAGTCCGGTGTCATGGGCACAGATGCGCTGGTGGTATATTAATAACCACATTTGTTCATATTATGCTCCATCGTCTATAATAAAACTATACAACATGTGTGAAACGAGCCAGTTACCCCATAGCGGTACTTGTTTTCTCTAGTAATAGGTGCCGTCCATTTTCTATATATTCCTGTAATCTCTCCCTATATCGTAAATTTTAAATACTATGATGTATTATGCATGAGTAGCAGTAAGTGATGTATACCTGCCAGTAATTTAAGATTATTTGTGTTAATGATACAATAAAGTTAATGTTTACACTTAGCATCATAGAGCCCTTTAAACGTTTGTGTCTTGTATACGGGTTACATAAAATAGCAAAACACATTTATATATTACATTTTAGTGGGTAAAATATAATCAGTTATATTACCAGTTTTACTAAATTTTAAAATTATTAGATATCTGACAGTATAATTTAATTTCTAAGGTAAAATATGATTATAATTGACTTAGTAAACAAGAGTATACAATACCGCTATATAAGCCATAGAGAGAGCCATACAAACACCAAAGATTTATTATTATTTCCTGTTGTTTTATTATTATTACAAACAGAAAATAACGACGAGACAGAGATTAATAAGTAATACCAGTGAAGAGGTGTGATGAAGATTGAAGGAACAACTACAACTTGAAGATGGGTAATAGTGACCATTTAGGGGACTTATTGACTCTTAGGGAGACAGAGCATTAAGACTACTTGTGTGACAGAGACGTAACTAATGGCCAAAGAACATTAAAGTAAAAGTAAATCTCAATGTTATGTAAATTTGTTGCGTTAGTGGGAGTATGACAAATGTGTGCGAAGGTTGTACGTTGGAAGACTGGTGTGTGATTCAACGAGTGTTTGAGAATGAAGACGCAGCCATTGACATCTTTAGGTCTCACAGTGTTCTTCTTGATTCTGTAAGGTGTCCAAGGTGTGACTCTGACTGCCATTATCGTAAAGACCGCCACTCTTGGTACTGCCGTAAAAGACATAAAATCTCGCATAAAAAGAAAATTCGTGTGTGTGGGTTTTCGGTGTCTTCCTTCAAAGGTACGTGGTTAGACAGAATACACGTGCCAGCGTGGAAAATCTTGTTGTTCTGTAATATATTTGTCAGGCAACACTTCTCGCAGCGCTACACCATAGATAATTTGCAGTTATCATCGGCAAGTTTTTCGGAGTGGAAAATCTTTTGTTCTCAAGTGTGTGAATATTGGTTGTGTAACCAGGGACCCATAGGGGGGCCCGGTGTTGTAGTGGAAGTGGGCGAAAACCATTTTGGAAAATCTAAAAAAAATTGTGATCTTGAAGTGACAAAAGTGTGGGTGTTGGGCTGCGTAGAAACTGTTTCGAAACGTAAATTTATCCTAACTGTGCCCGACCGCAGTCCTGAAACCCTCATACCACAAATTCAGCATTTTGTAAAAGTGGGTAGTGTCATCCATACTAACCAAAGCAAGACTTACAGTACCCTCGGCACTATTGGTTATACCCACAGAACTGTAAACCGTAGTAAGAACGTTGCGGATCCAGATCCTGACGTTCATATACAAAATCTAGAACATCTGTGGAAGGACGTCAGAAGTTGGGTGTTTCGTGCCGGCAGCAAGAAGGATTATTACGACCAATATTTTGCTCATTACTTGTTCCTGGCTCACCACACAGACCACAAAACCATACTTCATCACTTCCTCCTGCAAGTTGCATCATTTAACCCTCCTCCATCTTTTAATTAAGGTAAGATTATGTATGATTAGGTTAGTTTCAGTTAGATTAAGTTAGTTTCGGTTAGGTTAGGTTTACTCACCAGGGGATCCAGGAGGTTAGGTCAGGTTATTCTGGCCTCTCTGGTTAGGTTAAATTAGACAGTACTAATATTTGAGTTGATTTTGCATGTTTTGTCCCAGTGTTGGTAATGGGGGGGGGGGGTATCTCCAAAAGTACTTACCCTGTATTTATGCCAGAAATGAAGGTTATACTCGTGTGAACCAGAGTGAAAAACACTATGAAAACATTTTTCAAAGTAATTTCGTGAAAGGTCATTACAGAATAATGGCACAGCCTGGCATAGAACGTTGTGACGGCACCGAGAATGAGCTCATTCAAGACCAGACTTGACCAACACTGGTGCAGGTACAGATACATTGAGGAGTCAGTGCATGTCCAGTACTTGCCAACAGTGTGTAACAAATGGTTTTCAAGGAACCTAACCTATTCATATAGTAAGGAATACCTGTACAATATACTTTACTGCTATAACTGTATCTTATTATTCTCAGTTTGAAGGAAACTGGCCTACATAATCTAGCATAAACTGACCTAGCTACCTAACCTGACCTGCCTAACCTAACCTATCCTATCTAGCCAACTTACCTACCTACCTAACCTAAGATATTAAGTTTTATTTCAGACGTGCATTTTTTGTGCACTTTTTGCTTCCTTCTTGTGGTGAAAAAGATTTTATATTCCGTAGAGAAATTTTCTAAACCTGGTGCTAAGGCCGGACTACTCCTGTCAAGTATACTGTATTATGATGAAATCAACCAATTAAATTACTCTTGAGGTGTTTCCTTTCTTGTATAGGAATAACTCATTATCCTCAGGTGTAGTACTGTACTGCACTGAACATAAGAACATAAGAAAATAAGGACCGGCTCTCATCAAGATTGCCAACCTCCACTTATTTCTCCTAATGATGAAGCAAGCTAACACTAAATGGGGGTCGAGGTTAGGTTAAGTTAGCATTAGGGTTTTTAATTATCTTGTGAAATAGATATTTGTAATATTTATAGAAATTGGTAGTTTCAGTGTATGAAAGCTCCAAAAAGATAATGAGTATACAGTATTATAATTTTAAAGTTATACAATACTGTACTGTAGTTATAATTAAGAAGTAACTAATACACAAAGGGATGACCTTCAAGACTGAGAATTTATCTTAGTTTTATTTGTTGTTTTGTGTTGTTTGGTGTTTAGATTCACCATCACTCCAGATGTCCATGTATCCACAACAGGATGGAGCAGCAAGGTAGAAACTTGAAAAAGGAGGAGGACATGGAGAAGCCGGTGCCAGCCAATGAGCTGGAGCAAGCCAGAGAGATGGCCAGGATTGTTGGCTCTGCCTACCGTCACGTGGAGCACCAGCAGGCAGCCGACCAGGTGGCAGGAGTTGCCGATGAAGTATTTGACCATCTATTATCTTCAGGTAAGATGAACACCACCACTATTGTACTGTACATGGTTGTTTATCCTGCTTCTGGTCTATAACACACACACTCCTCAACATGGTCACTTAATTTTATTTTGGGTACAGTACTAGAGTTAGTTTTGCTTATGAACAGATAAACATTGCATTATTTTCTGCCACTTTCCAACATTAATTACTCATTCCATGCATATTTTGAACACTTACTGTGTGTTTTCTCATACGGTAGGATCTAGGAGTTACAAAATTAATGAAATATAAATTTTAACATCAAAATAAAAAAAATTAAATTCAAACAAAAATCTGCCAAAGCACTCAACAAGAAGTTGATTACTGGTTGAGGTGAACACGATGTAATATTAATACTGTAATTAGTTAAGTTAATGGCCCCTTGGAGTAATTTCACCAACTGTCTGGCACTACACCACACTACCTACTGCTTATAATTTTTTTTAATCGACAAGACATAGTGAACCACCTCATCATGTTAATTTTCAACTGTGAGGCAAAATCTGTTGTCAATCCCTCTAAAAAGGTTAATGATCAGAGGTCTTGTGGTTCCTGGTTTATGTTGACACTGAAAGACCCTGCAGAGACACATGAGCTAAATCTTCCATTACTGTAACACCCCTTTAGGTCCCCCCTCGAGGTCCCCCCTCGAGGTCCCCCCCCCTCTAGGTCCCCCTATATGTCCCCCCTATAGGATCCCCCTCTAAGTCCCCCCTTATACTGTACTATACAGTACTGTACATGCTTCTATAAAGTTTATGTAATTCTTATTTAGATTTACTGCTAAGGCATTTGTCATTGCAGGTGGTAGGAGGGAGGAGTCACTGCCCTCCACATCCAGCCAACCATCTATAACACCGAGAATCCCCTCTCTGCCCCACAGTACAGGTGGGTCAAGAGGGTGTACAGTGTGGTGAGCAGGGGGATGTGTATACAGTCCTCTTTCTGCTGATGTGGGGAGGGAGACACATGTACTCTAGTGTGAGAGGTGGACTGGACACATGCCAGTGAGTCAGTGACTCCCTCTAGGACAGTAACCATTAATTGAAATAATAATTTTTTCTAATATTTTAGTTTTTAAGGTAATTTTTAATTACAGTACTTTTAGTTTTAGTTGAGGGACACTGTACTCTGTTAGGCAGTGTACCTGATGTGAGACTGACTTAGAGTGAAATTTGCCATTGGTTTATAGTCAGGCATATAATTTATACATTTATATGTGTGCTTCATAATAAAAAATAATAATAATTATTAGCCCCTTCAATACGAGGATGCTACTTTTGATATTTTATTTGGCTCAAAAATGATTTTATTAGCTCAGAGGAAACCCTGTGTACAAGGGGTTAGGCATAATTTACAGGATCTCTGACAACTAATGAGAGATTATTTCTGTAGTGTGTTCAGAAGGATCAGGTTCATTGGCACTTCAGCTGCATTACTCTGGGACGTGCAGCATCGAGCCTGACGATGCTGAAGGACGAGACTGTACTGTTGATGAAATCTTGGATCTACCTCCCTCTCTAGACACAGCGCTCAAGCTCAACATGGCCTTACAGATCAGTTTTTCGGATAAAATCAAAACCCTGCAAAAGGCGTTGAAGGAAAACCATTCCAGACAGGTGAGATTCATCATAAATTTACAAGTTAAGGTTCACCAGGTGTGCTTCTGTATCACTGTTGCTCTTGTTTTTCAGGTTTCATAAATTTATTATTTTCTAGAGTTGTGTACTATAGTTTGTTTACTCAAACCTGTTGTGTTTATTATGGTATGTTATGCTTGGCTTATGTAACTCTTGTATACAGTAGTAAGCAAGTCTAAAAGTTGATTGTAGCATCATCAGAAACTAGACACACAACTGGAGCTAATCCAAAAATTAGTTCATACATTTTTTAGTCATATCCAAGTATAAGGAAACCTGATGGACTGATACAAAAGTTACCATTAGAGGCCACAAACATTGAGTATCACTGTACCAGCATTTTCTACCACCCTCACTGCTTGACTACAAAGTGACCAGTGCAGGGTGAGAGAGCCCAGTCCCAATTATTCATGAGAGCTGTATAGACTTCACCAGATGTAATCATTCTGTTGTACACCAACCCAGCTGGTCTTATGAGAGTTATAATACGGTACCAACTTTACAGTCTGACCCTCAGGATATTAAGATTACAGTCCAGTGTAGTTTGAAGTAGAATCCCAGGAATGTTACATTGGATTGGTGTTACACTAGTTGTCCTGTCCTAGTCGTGGTCACCACTACGTATAATAGCTTCTCTCATGGGATGACAATATTGTATGTTTAGGGTTGGCTTTTGCTTTGCCTTGACTTATGATAGGAATTAGGAAAGAGAAGGTCCATGTTAGCTGTGGTTGTGAGCAGCATTGTCTGTGAGTAGTGTACCAGAAGCTGTGGTCTTAGGTGTTATATGGAGATGTGTGTGATGATGAGGGAAACACCAGGGAAAACCTTAGTGAAAATCATGGAGACTTTTGGAAAGGGAACATGATGGTAGAACTCACCAGACGAGGCAGCGAGAGTGAGTCAAAGGACAGTAGAGTACAGCCATCCTCAATCACAGCAGAAGTGAAGGATTAGTGAGAATATTGGTAACATTTATACATGATATTCATTGTCTGTTTCAGGAAATGTTGAAGAATAAAATCACAGCAATCAAATATTGCACGGATCAAGTGCTTAAGTGGGACGGCTCGGACAAACCACCACTGCGCATCTCCCACTTCGCTGTTCCATACTTTAAGAATCGAAGTGGCATGAATGCTCCCATGAATGAAGACGCAAAATTTAAAGTGGATAATGGCTACTTAGACCTGTACACGACCCGCACGAGACCATGTAAGTAACTTGACTATTTTGGACAATTATTTCAGGTACAGTATAGTCAGGCCCTTGGTGAAGCTACAGCTGAAGTGGTTTATATGAGGATCCAGACTGATTAGGGTCCATGTACAGTGATATGCATATAACAGACTTCTCTTTCCATGTGATCCATTATATGGGGGTTTCACACCTAACATGCCTTCAATATAACAGACTTTCATATCTATATAGTTTGTTAGATAGAGGTTTCACTGTAGCTCCTTATATAAATACTCAAATAAGTCTCCTAATTTAACCAGATTTTAAGAACATTTATTAACCTCTAACTTAACCTAACCATACAACTTTAGATCTGAATTAGAAACTAAATCCTCAAAATATAAAATTCCAGCAGAACTTCCTTTATTAGGGGGGGGGGGGTGCCAGACACACTTGTAGGGTGTGTCAGCATTTTAACCGTTGACTTACTCTTCTAATGGGTAGGTGTTGTGGGTGTTGGTCGTGTTGTGGGTGTTGGTCGTGTTTGGGTGTTGGTCATGCAGTGTTATTTTATATTTTCCAGGGACGGTTACAGAACAAGAAGTCCTAGGCAAGGTTGTTCGGGAGGACTGGAAAGATAACATGTTGAAGACTCAGAATTCACAGTTACGGGAACTCCAACGCAGGCTTAACAGACTCGAGGACCAGGGGAAATTGGCTTTGGTAGGTTTTGTTCTCTCTCTCTCTCTTTGAAGATTATTTCTTTCCCTCTTGGTAAGCACCTCCCAGACTCTGATCATATTATTCAGCTCTTTATGCTTCTTCCAAAAGTTTGTATTTACTGTGAATTTACTCTCGTTAATCTACAAATTTCTCAAGGTATTATAGTCGTCATAAATATGCGATTCAACACATCACACTCATCCACTTGAGCCCTGAGTATGATTTCACTTCTCTCTCTAACAGTTCCTCAATTTATCATTTGTATCTTACACCACTACACCTACTGTACACCCTAAGAATCAACCTTCGTTACCATTGCCACTTGTACAATTTTTACCGGGCCTTTTTTGAACAGCTAACCAGAAAATCCTTTAAATATGATTCTCTTTTGTTACATTTCAGATGGCTAATATCGAGGCATTGATTGTAAAATGTATGGAAAAAATTGAAACTACAACCCAGACTCCCGTAGCAGATTTTATACCAACTCCAGGAGGAAAGTTGGACTGGGAGAAAATAGCAGCCCAAGGAGTGAGTCAAGAGTTTGTTGAAGTGTACTGTAGTGTTTATTTATATGTAAGACTGTACAGTACTGTACTAACTCACTTAACCTCCACTCTTACCACACACTCATTTCACTTCATTAATTAAGAACTACGTATTATCATCATACTGCCCTAAGTAATGTAATTAAGATTAAAACCAAGACCGACCTGGAGACCAACACACACACATACAACAGCTGGGTGAGGTATTAAAGGAGAACATGTTGATCAAACATAATATTTACTCTGAAACAGAAATCCAGAATTAATTTGAGACGCCTTCACTGTGTAATAGGTGATGGCGGTGTTGAGAAGAGCTCTGATATCATGGTCTTTGGTGACAGATAATACACGTGACTCCCTGTTGTATAGATAAATGGTATATTATGCAACTCATTTACTGATTAGTTCATTGTCCTTCACATAACATATAAGACAACTAGATTATTGGTTCATGATCTTTTTTCAGTGGTTACGGTATATATTTTATTATTTCTTCTCAGTACCCTGTATATGCTTGAGGAAAGAAGAATTGTATTTATTAATTTCCGGTAGTATGACGGCCATCGCAGCTCCCAGGAGTGCCGGCTACAGTGGGAAAACTTCGTCCATCCTAGCATCAACTGTACATTGTGGACAGAGAAAGAAGATTTAACAATCCAGGTTTGTGTGTGTGTGTGTTTGATAAAGTGTTTGATTCATTTATTTGTAATAACACCCAGTACAGTAAGGTGGTGCTTGATGAATGACCTCAGTACGGTAAAGTAAGGGCAAAAAATATTGAAGCATACAGTATAGAGTACTGTACAGGGTGTTTGGAATGGCAGAGGGTATAAATTGTGGAGTGATGGAATGGGTGGAGAAAGATAATAAAGAAGGTGTACAGGGGAGGGGGTAAGTGGACTTGAAAGAACAGGGGAGATACTACGTGCACCCTCATGACATATACATCATGGCCACTTGGTTCACACAGTAACAAAAGCACATTGTAAATTATTCAGATGACTAATAATATTTTTAGGTGAATCGACTTTCTCTACCAAATAATGCACTAGAATGTGTTGAACCTAAACCTTGCAGTACTGTAGATAACATTATTGTCTTTTGGTTTCTTATTAGGAAATTATGATGAAACGAAAAAATCCTAATCCAGACTGGGAACTGATAGCCATGCAATTGGACACCAATAGGACAGGTCTTCAGGTGAGTGTAACCCAGGAGGTCCTATGTAACAGTAACATGACACATAATCAATCATTCAAACAATTACATTATCATCCTGATATCTGAGGGTTGGCAACCACAGTCCTTCACTCTAAATGTTTTCAGGCTTTTCTTTTTACAAATTTTCCAAGATGTTGATGACATATGTTAAGAAGTTACAAACATAAGAACTCAGAGCCTGACCCTTTGAGCTGTGTGACTCATGATGATAATAATAATAATAATAATAATAATAATGTTGTTAACTGACCACCACAACATAGGGAAGTTTAAAAACCACCGTAACAAGTGAAAATGCGTATTTTTAAAGGACGTGAGATGGGATACCCTCTGGACCTGCAGCTTTGTCAGGGTCTAACATTTATGTATCTGTCTTAGAGAGAGAGAACCTGGTGGAGGTACTGAGTGAACTTTGTTACCAGGATTAAGGGTATGAACTTAAAGCAAACGTGGAACTTAGAAGACTGGCTACATATTGAACCAAGGTGACTGTCGGTAAGACTAGGAAAGACGAGGAGTATTTAGATCGGTGTGTATGAGGTTAAGACTAACACTGTCACAGGTGATGCAGAGGTGGGTGTCCTTCATAAACCCAACACTGAACCCGGCCAAGTGGAACCCAGAGATGACCCGGAAGCTCATCGATACAGTCAACATGTTGAGGATTGGTTCTCACATCCCCTGGGCACAGGTTAGTGCTGGTGTTCTTGTGCTTCGTGATGATATTATAATCTAAATGGCGGGAAATCTTGTTATCTGTGTTTGTTCCAGAATGCTAGCAAAATCAAACTTAACTTAATCTAATCTAATGTGACAAAATCAACCCTAACAAAATCTATCCTAACCTAACCATGTAAGTGGATTGGTAGAAATTATATACTGTGCAATGATCAGTCATGCAGATAGGAATGACACCATCAGTAATGGCATAATACTAGTAGCCAGAAGTTAACACTATACGCTTTGTAAATTCATAATAAAACAAGGAAAATTTGTAAACACGATTAAGAGAAAAAATGAACGTTTAAGAGAGAAGCAGAGTTTAATAATTTAATTTTTTATTTTTTTAGATACCAAGTAGAAGTTATGAGTGACTGTACAGGCAGGTATATGGGAGCCATGATGTAATGGTGTCACACAAGCAACACTTAGTTTAACCCCTTGTGTACTAGTTCCCCAATGAGCTAAATAAACACATCTAGCATTAGCCAGGTAACATATTAAAAGTGGCGTCCCGTAGTGAAGAGTTTAATGACAAAGAGTAGGAGGTGTGGCTGACTACTTAAAGAACAGAAAGAAAATAAGTGTGAAATGATTGTGAAGTTTTGCACAGTGTACAGTTTGAATTGAATACTAATACTGTACTGTAAACTGTATGTGGGTTACCAAAGTATGGATAAATTAAAGAAACAGGAGCATTAATACTTGTGAAGACATGGAAAATAAGAGGTTAGCTGGAGTGAAGGATGATGATGTGAGGAGGAGTGTAGGATAAAAGGGGTAAGGAGGAGTGTAGGATGAAGGTGTGAAGAGGAGTGTAGGATAAAGGGGTAAGGAGGAGTGTAGGATGAAGGTGTGAAGAGGAGTGTAGGATAAAGGGGTGAGGAGGAGTGTAGGATGAAGGTGTGAAGAGGAGTGTAGGATAAAGGGGTGAGGAGGAGTGTAGGATGAAGGTGTGAAGAGGAGTGTAGGATAAAGGGGTGAGGAGGAGTGTAGGATGGTACTCACTAGTGTATCTTATGGCTGTATGATTAGAGAGGTATTTGATAATATGGCCACTAAAACTTAATCATTAATGTACTTATATCTATTTACATTTCTATTTTTCATAATGTGTTGTTCCCAAGGTGCACCAACACATGGTCGGGTTCAGCCGTAATCAGGTTCAGAATCGATGGCGAATGATCAACCCCGACCAGTCTAAAGGACCGTTCACTGTTGAGGAGGACTTCATACTTATAAAGGTAAGTCCCAAGTTGTGTACAGTCTGTCAGTAATGTGGTCTGGTTATATACGGTATATCAACAACATTATTAACAAGAGTTGTGTACAGTTTGCCTCTTCATCACTTTCACAAAAGGTTAAGGATGTTTTTGAAGTTTTGTCTTTCAGATAAAAAATATCATTGTCAGAGATTTAGTTTTATGTTGCTGTTAGAGTGGTGGAGTTACAAACGATCCATCTGTTTAATAACCCAAGAGTATTGTTTGTGTGTTGGAAAGGTTGATATGACTTATATATTAAGTGAGAACAGACTACACTAACTTGTACTGTACCTGGGAAGCTGGTGTGAAGGCAGAGAAGGAGAACACCTACAGTAATTGAAAATATTTTTGTTTTGTGTCCTTATTTCAGGGTTTGCACATGTTTGGATTAAACTTCAGCAATATTGCTCACTTCATGCCTGGTCGCAGTCCCTGTCAGGTACGGGAGAGGTACAAGCGAACCCTATTGCGCAGTCTAGCTTCTGACCCTTGGTCGAGGTGAGGATGGTCATGTTTTATCTTATCTGTATAGTATCTAAAGTTTGTCTTCATCTCTGTATGTTTGTGCTAGTACACACACACACACACTTATTTACTTGTGTTTAGGTCAGATTACTGAAGCAGACATATAATGACCTTCTGTCTATGTTTCAGGCATTGCTGTTGGGTTGTAGATGATTTAATGCATATAAAAAATTTATATCAAAGGTAAAGTGTTCGAGGATGATTGTGTATTATCTTCCACCTTTCCACCTCAGGAGACAGATTTGAAGACCTCACATATCTCTTCTTCCCTTTACCAACAGAAGTGAAGATGACATACTTATCAGGGAGTGCCAAGTCGGTCCCCGGAACTGGCGGAAGATGGTCATGATGCTTCCCAAGCGCGATGCTTGTCAGATACGAAACCGTTACCACACCATCCAAGTGTGGCAGACTATTACTGGAACTAACATGGTAAGGAGGACATGCAGCGCAGGAAGTTTTGGGGCTTAAACGTTTAGTTTGAGAGATGAATGACAGTTGACCTTGGCCATTGTATCACCTGTAATTTTCTTGTTGTTTTTGTGAATGTATTGAAGTAGATAAATGCATTAATTTAAAGTCCAAGAGGTAAAACATTTTTGGCTTGAAGAATACCACTTTGCACCATAAAATTTAAATAAGCAGGATGTCTACTGGTCTGGAACATCTGGATAACCTGGAAAAGGCAGGGAACTTAATTTGGAGCTGGAAAACTGGGAAAACCAGGGAATTTTACATATAAGCCTGGAATTTTATGAGAATTCAGTTCAACTTGAAAATATATTTTATATGACAGCAATCTTATGATAAATTAATGATGTACTATATAATAGGTAAATAATTAAACTTTTAAGAACAAATTCCTGTAAATAGCCCACTGCAGTAACTGAATTGTTTATATACCTATCATATTTTATATTAGATTGCAAATAACCAAATACAGTTCTGTACTGTATTACAGGTTATACTGTACTTGCTTATTCTGCAATGAGTATTGTCAGAGATAAATCATTCTTAAAATTAAGTGACTTTATTTAAGTGGATTATTCCACATATTAATTGTGAGTTATATAGGTGGATCAGGAGTGTGCTTTTTAGTTTTTGCCGGATTTCAGGCTTTTCTTAAATGTCCAGGTTGACCCACGTGAATTGCACAAATCCAAAGAAAAATATATGGATGAGGGATTGTCAAGGTCTTTGGCGATGTTCATCACTAGGCTTGGGGAGGGTCGCGAAAGAGTCTTCAATTTCTTGATTAATATCGTTTATATCATCTTTAAATTTCCCAATTATTGTCCTGTATAAATTAGCTACATTAACTACAGGCCAACACCTTTACTCCTGCAGCAGTTTAATATCTTGGGTAACTTCCACTTATAGCCATTGCTGATTTATGACAGGATGCCATTCCTGAACCTTTGATAAATTGGATCACATTTCCTCATAGACTCCCATGATAAAAGCCCAGTTATATTCCTATGAAAAAAAAGAAGTCCCCCAAATGTCTTGAAATTCAACAAACATGTGTGGTTTTTTCTGTGTACACAATAATTGTAAGCAAATAATGAATATTTTATGTGACATACCAGTACAGATACTTGTATTACAGTACCCTTTTAAATATTTTTTACGATTTTAATTATTTCAAGGGTTATTAATTAATACTAATTACTCAAATTTTTACATTTTTAACCCATATCCTTAATCAGCATATAAAAGAATATCTTTATATGAAATTTGAAGAAAATCTACGTGATGATCTCATGTGCCGAAACGCAAGGTAATAAGGTCAGGCGTTTCTGGAGCAAAATATAGCTTTTCTCTGTAAAGTGAAAACTACTGTGCTTATATCGTAAAGTGAGTCTATAATACTGAAAAAAAATATTATATAAGGTGATTTTAAACTTACGGACATGGCATAATTGACGTTTTACAGTCGACTAATAATTTTATACCTGTACTTACGACAAACCGGATTCTGAGACACTCCTTTTCCTCACTGTTTATAGGATTTTTTATGTAGTACTCAACCTATTTTAGATGTACTTTAATATTGGTCCGTATATTGGAGGTGTAACACGAGGACTGGTGTTCACTGCATTGTTTCTTGTTGCTCCAGGCACCGCCACCCCTGTTCCCAGTTTCCATGACTGTTAACCCGATTCAGGTGAAGAATATCCGCAAGCACATGATCCTGGAGTCCAACAACATCAAGGAAATAGTTGATATAAGTCGGAAAGGGATGAATGTGGTAAGTATACTCTTTCTGATGTTGGGTGTCTCTTTTTCTTCTCAGCACCACAAAACTCTCACTTTTAAGCTTGCCAGCCATTTTAAAGTGAATTACAAACGAAAATTTTGTCTGTACTGACGTTGTGACTCGAAAATACGTAATTTGAAAAATTTTTGGTACGACTGGGGCGGTCGTATGTCCTGGTGGTCATGAGTCGAGGAGTAGCTGTACTTCCAGATGGTTTTAATGATTTATAGTAGATTTGGAAAAGACATGATAGGGTGAACAGAAAAGAATTGTGGGAGGCATTACAAATGTATAGGGTGAGAGGAAGGCTATTAAATGTAGTAAAAGCATTCTATGAGAGCAGCAGGGCAACAGTAAGATTAAATGGGAAAGAAAGTAAAAAATTTGAAATAAATGTGGGTGTTAGAAAGGGATGCATTATGTCCCCGTGATTGTTCAATATGGAAATGGATCTGAACTACAGTGAGTACAAGGTTGTGTTGTATACTGGTAAAAGTACTTAATAATGAGCTTTTCTTGCAAGGCTGATACATTTTGACTCCTGATTATAAGGTAGCCAAGTTGCCTCTGTTCAGTATAACTAGGGACTGCTTCTGTTTATGGTTGGTCTCTGAGCCTCGATTCAAATATGCTCTGATCAAGAATTATATGGGTCCAGGGGAGCTAAGTTGCCACTGCTCACCTCACTCTCTCTCCAACAGCACTTAAATGAATTCTTTAAAACTTTCAACTGTGAAAGTAGAATAGTTTTTCCATGCATTAAGATATACTTAAACTTAGTTTTTGCCTTTAAGCATGTAGGATGAATCTGGGTGACTGATCAAAGCTTGTATTTCATCAATTTGTCCTTTGCACAGAGATTTCTTGAGATGGAAATGAGTATAAATACATAATTGTTAAATCATCTTGAATGTAATGTTATGATTAATCTCATATTAAAAAGTTATAAAAGGAGCTACAAATACTAAAAACTGGTTTTTCAAGGTCACCTTTTGGTGTTTATGTGTTAATATGGATGTACTTAAGTAGTAAGTTGCATTAAATTTTCATTCTGAGAAAAAAAGGGGTAAGGCTTACCATTTTGGCCATGATCTTGATATCACAGATTTTGATAAAAATCAAAATACAGTATATGTTCTTCTGAACATGCTGATTAAGGATCTACCATCTGCAGTTTGATATCTGTATAATTAATTGTCCAAGTGACATCTCAAATATTTTAATTACTTTTCTAACTCTTAATTATGCACCGCCTTTTGTTTTCCTTTATCGTAGAATATTCTTTGGATACAGTATTATAATCTCATTTATTTACTCAGACCAGTGCTGTTAAGGAACTGGAGCAACGACGACTCGTAATCAAAGCTCGTAAGGCCAAGTACCCAGTGGAGAGATTGAAGCATTATACTGAACAGCGGGGACGGAGACCAGGAGCTAACAGTCCCCGCCAATATACACTACAGGACAGCCTTCTCCTAGACTTCTTCACACCTGGCAGAAATAATCCTTCAGATTTCTCTAACTGTTGTAAGTATAGAGGCTGGTCCATGTACATGGTACCAAGCAGGTTAGGGTTCATTAGTTAGAATGAATAAAGTAGATATTTTTTTATTATTTACTGTTATGAAAATTATCTTTATTCCATATCCCTAACACCCTGTAAAAATAAATAGTTTCTCTTATTCCCTAATCCTAATTAATCCCTAACCTAACCTACCTTGTTTGACTCCATTTACTGTACGGTATAGAGAAGACCCTTTAGATCAGTGGGGGTACAGTATTATACTTGATGCACTCCACCATTTCTTGAGTTTTCTGTCTCCCTTCAAGTCCTACCTCATACTAACACAGGAAGAGTAGTGAAGAAACCTGTAGTAATTGAGTAGCTTTATTAAGTATGTGTAAATTTACATGATAGATAGAACATGAATTTAAGTTACAGCGATTTATTTCAGAATACAATATGGTTATTGACTTGAAACACTGCTGAGTAGTTCTTTTTCGTGCATACATTGTAACCTCCATATAATGGACTTTTTTCTCTATTTAATCTGTGAGATGGGAGTGTCACATTTAACGGATCCTCGATATAATGGACTGCCATCTCTATATAGTTCATTAGTTGGAGGCTTCAATATAATGATTTAATTCTCATAGTGACCCAAGAAAAAGGCAGCCTAGTGAAATTTTGTCTCCAGGAGATAGATTATCATGTGTACTTAGCAGCTGTCACATCTTTGTGTAAAGGAAAGGTCCTATCTTGTTCAGTGCCACTTCCTGATCTTGATATCCATTGTTGTTGTTGATGTAGGTACTGTTCTTGCCTCCACAGCTAACAAGCATTCTTCATTGCTGATGTGAATAAGAAACAATTTTAATGTTAAAGATTTATTTGAATTTAATGTTTATGAAATATTTTGTGCTTACTTCTCATAATTATAACATATAATATCAATATGTAAGTGTAAGGAAGGAGAGTGATGCAATATATGAAATGGATTAATTCAGTGAGGGAAAGGTCATTTTTAATGCTTGTTGTTGGGAGACAGAAGAGCAGAGGTTTTGTCAGTCCATACATTTGTCTGTCCTTTTCTGTCCGCAAGAATCATACAATTGTGTGATAAAAGTTTGCTTAAGTGATAGAGTTACCTTGTGCTAAATATGATCCTTTTATTTTAATATTATTTCTGTAGAGTTGATGTAGTTGTCTGTTACTTGCCTGTTTTTCTCTTGTATATCCAGTTAAGAGCATCCAACCAAGTCTTACCATATTGAGCAAGATCTTCCAGCTGAGGATCCTGAGGGAGGTGACGCCCTCAGAGGAGGATATAGCCCGTACCCTCCAACTTAGCGAAGAAGATCTAGACTTCATCCAAGAACTCGTGACGGAACACAACCACTCAGGGGAGACGAAATCATGTATGTTCTCCTTCGCATCTGAATTGTTGTCTGTGTTTTGAAGTTCTGCTAAAGGTATAAGGTTTATCTAGTGAGCTGGCAGAGTTTACATTTAGAAAACTGATTTATTAGGACTAGTGAGCTAGGAAGTAGTAGTTTGCTTTATTTGTGGACTTTTACACAGTTAACTGTCCTGAAATTACTTAGGTCTCTCTCTCTCTCTCCCCATTCCTCTGTTACCTCACTCTTAAGGTGATGCCCATGTGCTTCCTACTTATCACATGTGTCTGTTTTATTGTGGAAGACTGCATTTGTTTGTAGTAGGCAGCTTCCAAACAGGGAGGTACTACTGCCTGGTAAGATATTGGAAGCATTATGCGTTGTCTAATGGTAGACCCGGCTGCCATATGGCATCACGAAAATTTTGACCAAGTCCCAGTTTGCTGATCTGACTTTCTGCCTCATTTACACTCAATTGCAGGGTTTCAGTTGTTTCTCTTACTATTGACAACACAGCATACGAATATCATTTCTCACTACTGATTTTTTTTTCACTTTTGTATTTCCTTTTGGTTCTTTATTATTATTATTGTTACAGTGTTATTGTTATTATTATTATTATTATTAGTATTAGTATTATTATTATTATTATTATTATTATTATTATTATTATTATTATTATTATTATTATTATTATTATTACTGTACAGGTATTACATTTTCGCCCCCAAGGCCCTGATGTAGGTCAGTGACCAGTGCCTGGGTGGGCTAATCCCTGTAAAAAAAAAAACAATAAAATAAAATGCTTATTCTATTTCTAGAATGTTTTTTTTATGTGTGTAGAGTATTATACAAACAATAATAGGTATCCCTTTGTTAACATTTGCACAGAAATGAATAGAGGACTTTTAAGCTGGCTGAGAAAATAAATAGGAATTGATAAATCTGTGTAAAGTGTAGTGAATGATTCATGTGACTTATAGATCAATAGATTATTGGCTCCAACCCAACTTTACCTTACCTTATCTTACCTAACCTAACCTGGTCATTAGGATTGGGGCTCATTTGATTCTCTACTAATGTTAGGTCAGGTTGAAGCATAATAAAACAACAAGTTACCAATAAACAGACTACACTCTTCTCTTCTTTTACAGCAGATGACTGTGAGGCATGCTCACCACCCTGCCCAGAAGCTATACCCTTGCTGCCTCCAAGCCTCACAACTCAAGGTGCACTCTGGTCCTACCTCGTCCATCGCCCAAAGCTCATAGAAATGGCCTCGAGGGAGTTCATATTCTTCAAGTAAGAATTTCAGTGGTATGGAGGTCGTAGTGAAGTGATATGAAGCATTATAAACTCATGTGGAGGCCAAAAGACTCTGCTTATGATACTTCCTGTGCAAATTGAGGATGAGATCGAGTAATGTAGAGTATAACTTATTGTCTTTGTCTTGTCCTGGTAACTCTTTTACACTTGTCTCATTATGAATATTTATCCATCATCAGAGCAACCAAAGCAGAGCTGGCCATTTTAGGACCACAACCCAGACTGAACAAGTTGGTGAAACGGGCCCCACTGACAGACGTGTCCTTTGTGAGTCTTAACAGTGCTTTACTTGTTACCTGTCTCTGTTGTTGTACAGTTTTACTTTGTGAACAATTTTCACCTGTGCTTGCTGGAATTCGAACCCAGATCACTGAGGTTGGCAGTACGTCATCCATCCACTAGACCACATTGGGCTAAAAGGATGGAAATGTTTTACTCTCAAGAGGTTAAGAGAGAAGTAAAAAGGTGCACTGACCCAAATACATAAGGCATTTGGGGTAAAGAGGGCGAATCAACCAACTTAGACCTATCTGATACAAAAAAAAAATTGTAATAGTATGAAAGTACAGGTGCACTAAATTTCCTATTACTTGGATCAGTTTCATGTATTTCGTGCGGTGCATTACAGAGACACACATAACAAAACCGCTCTTATTTCGAAGCAAGTTCTTATGTACAGTATCAACCTGACAAGAGCTTTACCACCACAGTGACAGCAGGATAACTAGAGTCAAGTTGAACACAAATTCTCTCTCACTCACAAATATATAAATATTTATCTCAAATTTTGTTGGTTGTAGTGAGACATTACTGCTAAAATAGAATTAAAGAGAGTTGTGGTTCCTCACAGCCACAGTGCACCTCACCCTAGCCGTACAGTACTCTTCTGTTATTATCTTAGCAGTTCATTCTTAATGAAATATATAGTATACTGTTTGCTCTTAGTCTTAATGCTCGCATAAGCTTTTGTGTTTATATTTATAGCTTGAAAATATTTATAAATAAAAAGGTAATTTATCACCAGATGTAATGATTTGATCAATGGTGAAAAACAGTTTATAAAGTGTCTGTAGGTTGTGATAACAGTGTTAGTAAATATTAATAATGTACCATGCTAACTTCTCAGCAACTGCAGAGCAGCAACTCTATACAAGCCACCAAATCACCAAATTCTGCAGTGAAACAAATTGCTGGTGAATCAGAAGTATGTGACGTAGAAAAATTACAATGGAATGTTAAGCCTAGCCCGAGCAAGTGGCACAACATTGTATCCTCAGAGGCAGATGCTGTTGGTAGATCAGACATCGAGACATCTGACAGAGTTGGTGATCAAAGTGCCATGAAAATTCACATCACTTTGAAAGTTAGTATAGTATCTTAAAACCCTGTATTCCTTATCTTGATTCTCAGATAACTACTGTACTGTTTTGTAATATGAATGTTATATGTACTATTGTTTTGTTCCATATATTGATTTAACTTTGTAAGTATATCAGGGTTGGTAATAGTCCTTACAGAAGAAGCCCGGTAAACCAAGATTCCGTAACCATAATTGGAAGTTGGATCAGTCAGCACTCACAACTTACTCACGAGGTGAGAATCATTATTGTATACCTCTTCTGGTCTACAGTATATGTTTAATATCATTAAGAAATTATGAGTCCACTGTACAGTAGTTTGTGTGAGAGAGAGAGAAAGCGAGAAGGGGAGACTGTTCTGTAGTTTTTTTTTAGCTGATTAGTTGTTCTGACACTAACTTTCATAATTGATGTAAGCTGCAAGTTTTTTGGTATTAATTGGCAGTAACATTATACATAGTTGTTCATGAAGATCATCACTACAACTTTATTCTAATGGATGATTGTGAATTTTTATTTATGATGTGAATGATTTAGAGGTACACAAGGTATGGGAGAGCCTACACAGTGAGGTCAAGTGATGCAGATAGAGGTGTGAGAAAGGATTTATCTGCCCAAAGATTACAGAGGGACCTGACATATCTTTAGGACTTTTACGACATGTAGAAAAGAATGATGCACATAATTGAAGATGGGGGTTATAGCAAGTACATTTTTGTATGGATATTTTTTACACCAATAAGTACCAGTAGTTTAATAAAATTGTGTCCGTTCATCACTCTGTAAGCTGTCGCCTTTCATATTTGGGGCTGATTGAATGTGCCACAGGGATTTTTAATTTGTGATTTCTATTTCTATGTAGGTAAGACAAAACCAGAGACAACAGTGCCAAGTTCAGAGTCAGCTGGACCATCAGGAGCTGACCCTGACTCAAGTAAACAAACTGGAACTTGTGTGACTAATGAACCTCCTTTGTCTAAGCGCTCTCAAGAAGAACCACCGCCACCTAAAAGGTAAATATTATGTGTGTGTGTGTATGGATGCAAGTGTGATCATTTATGGATACATATCCATAAAGCATCTCTGTGGCACAAGAAGACAGTAATTGTCCCCGGCTTTGTTACAATGCAAGAATTCTTTTGCAAGTGGCCTGTTTTTGTCAAAAATTCTGATGTAGTCCTCTATAAATTAGCAATAACTACCATAGAGTATTTTCTAATGATTATTTAGACCTGTAGTGATTTGTAAACATGATTTATTCATCTGTTCACATACGTAAATGAGATATAATGAAACATACATTGACCCTTTGGCTGCGGGAGGTTACCCTAAGCTGAATAAAATCGTCTGGCGGTAGCCAGAATGAAATGGCAAGTGCGGGAATTGCAGCAAAGGGATAACATTGTGCAATACTGTTCTCAGCAGAAGTTATACATCTGTAGGATGTTGTAGATGAATGAGGCAGTGTGCATGCATGACTGAAGAACAGTACAGTACAGTTTCCAGTTGTTTATGGGAATAGGGTGTGACTGTTGCCCTCCAAAAATAAAAAAAATGGTCCTACAATGCTGTTCAAAGTTTTAGTGTTGTATATTTATCTAGGAAACATCCCTGTAAATTTTCTTGGAGATCGGTGCAAGTGCGCCACTGAATGACTTGAATTTGGTCGAAACCTTGGCTGAATTTGCCCCATATGATGCCACAATAGTTGACAAAGCACGTGTGGCACTTGGTAGACACACTTGGTACCTAACTGAGGAGTTGGCCCCACTGGCTTTGTTCTCGTCCCAAGTACAAGAAAGGACAAAAGAGGAGATGAGGAAGGCCCTTCTTTGCCATGAAGGCACTGAAGTTACTAAGAGAATGGGGCTCAATCAGAGGGGCTATGGAAAGCCATATCTTCCCCTTGTACCAGAAAGTGGCACTGCCCTGGTGGACCTAATTGGGCCTGACTCAAGCTGGTTCTTCACCATTTTAGGCATGCCCTATCAGTTTCTCCATAGTCCAGCCAGTGAATGGGCGGATCATGACGACTACCTGAACATGAAACGGGTTGTGGACAAGCTTCAGGTCGTCAATGAGGCTGCAGAGCGTGGTGTAAAACTTTGCCATGACTTTCTTAATGTTGCCAGGGATGAGGAGCACTTTCAAGAAGTCCTTCAAGTAGTTGAAAATGACAGACTCCGCGTTCCTAATCAGCGCAAACGATCATCTGTTTCCGAACAGAAATCATGGTTTCTTGTTCTAGAGAAATAATACCTTGTGAATATATGATAAAACCTCTTAATGTACCATGAGAGAATAAGAATGATTATCTTTTTTGTGTTAGTGATAACAGCTTTTAATTAAGACAGGCAAATGATTTGTGTTAATATCCCTTATGATGGTTGTGTAATCTCATATACTATAGGCGCATATGCTGTATAAGCAAAATCGCTATTTTTCAAATTGCTGAAGCTCACTCAAATATGCATGAATCTTCAAAAAATTGCACTTGGGTATTTTATATGTCGATATGCAACACTAAAATTTTGAACAGCATTGTAGGACAAAGTTGGGTAACTGTCACACCCACTGTACAATAATTCTTAATTATATGAAGTAATTGATAAATCATATGGAAATATTGAGGTGGTATTGTGGAAGGGAAATAACATTGCTGAACATATCTGTTACAGCAGTAGGATGAAATAAATAATAGTAAATGAGAGTGTGGGTTGTTGTTGAGTGTAGCCACCAAGCACTGCAGCAGCATACCATTATCAGTATTATGGCCAACTACACTGTATTGAAACAAAATAGAATACTGTAGATTCTTTATAAACTTTTTGCATTATACAAATATGTAGAACTACAAGTCTAGTTCTTATAGTCATGTCTTTCAGTGAGACAAGGATAGTGGAAGGAAATATCTCTCTCCTCAAAATTATTTTTGTTGCAGACAAAGGATTAATGAGGAAGTGGAAGCTGAAGAACGTTCTGAGAACTTATTGTTCCAAAGAATGTTGTCCATCTTTTACTGGCCAGCCATGATGACTCTGGTCAAGTAAGTTCATTATTTAAAACCTTCCCATGTTCTTAATATAGTGTTTGTCCTTAAAAAACAAACTTTGAATGAGGTTAGTGTGTTGGATACTTAATGGGGAGCTGCCGACCTTTCATTCATACTCTGTGAACACTTGTGCAATACAGTATAAATTAGGTAACATAAGATGGCTCTCCTCTTGTGTGTGTTATGATAATAGGCCAGGTTCAAGAGAATGAATGAGGAAGAGTTTGTGGTGATTTTAGTGCCAGTCATCCAGTACCTTAACTGGTAATGACTCACGTGAGTTAAAAAAAAAGTATGTGACCTTTTGACAGTTAAACCTTTCCATTAGACATGAGAGACTAGGGACAGAGATAGTGAATAAGGGAGTAAATTTTTAGTCTTCAGATGTGTTTTGGTTCAAATGACTTTAAACAAATTTAGAATACCGGTACTGTACCTATATATTTTACACTTTTCTCACCTCAGGATATTAATAAAATAAAAATTGGAATTAGCCTCGCCAGCATCAAGCACATGTACTGTACAGTTACCCACAAAAGTCCTGTCGTCTCTCCACCTGAACCACAAACTCCGAGATTCAAACTCATCAATCTGAAGTATTTGTGGGTGGATTAATGCCTCACTGTCTACTGCTTTGGATTCACGATATGACAGGACTTTTGTGGGTGACTGCACACAGCTACTGTATTTGATGGTGGGTGACTCTCACGGGTGTTTCATGCAGTGGATGGTCGAAAGTTTACTGTGTGTGTGTGTGGGTGCAATTTATGTATTTGTATGCAGGGATTTTTCTTCATCATTTTCACTTGGAGGGGTAGATATGTTAGAGGTTGAATGGTCAGCTGATACCCCCAGTGAGGTCCAGCAGGGCCAGGTACCTTCAAAAGTTAAAATATTGATTCACGAGACATTGTTGAGATTTAATTTTGGTATATATGTACATTAACATCAAAACCATGTTCCATACAGCATTTTATTTTAGGAGTGGGGAGGAGACCTTTGTACCCCCCACCCCAAATAATATGTGATAGATAATAGTTATATGTTCAGTTAAAGAATCAGTTATACAATACAAATTTATATTAATTCAACGTCTCATGTAATACTTTTCTACCCCCCCCCCCCAGCCCTCCCCAGGAACACGTACAGCAGGTGGATAAAATGATGGCCAAGAAAGAACTCAATGAAGAGCCCAGCCCCCCAAAAGTTGACAAACCAAAGAAGATGATGCTCACCAAAGATGAACTTGATATTGAGGTTCGTCTTTACACCTCTCTATCTGAGCAGAACACATTCATTATAGCTGAAAGAATGACAGTAATTGAATTGAGAGTGTGTCTGTGTTAGCATTTCATTCGAGTCACCTTACATTGTAGTAGGAAAGGCATAAAAGAGTGAAAAAAAGAACATGAATAATGTTTTAGCCACAACTTATACTAATTTGACATAATGAACTGATCTGTATATTTGTATGTGATATTCCACTTTCCAGGAGCAAGAGATGTATATCCATCAGCTGTCACAGACACACCAGGCATATCAGGCATGGATGAATCATCAAAAGAAACTGCGACTAACATCATCCAGGAGAAACTCATCTCAAAATAATGAAACATCCCCAGGAAACACCAATATAGAAGACCCAACAACATGTAACCAACCAATGGAAGAAGTTGAGGCAAAAAAGGAAAATGAAGTTGAAGCATGTTTACAACAACAAAATGAAGACACTAACAACACCTTGATGGAGGTAGAGGGAACACTTAACCAAAGGTGAGGTCAATACACAACAGCAACTGTAAGATGTGAGTTAACTTACCTTAGACAAAATGAAGCTTTTCATCATTTACTTATTGTAGTTATAATGCTTAGAACTACCATACTAGAATGGCTGATTAAGTTGTTAGTTGTCAAGTGTTTAATAATGGGTACTGGTACTAGTGAATATCGCTGTGACACTCATCTGAGAATTACCTTAAAAAAAAATAACGTTCACCATTCAGCATGGAACAGTGTAGAGGTCGTGGTCGTAATCGTGGTCGTGGTCGTAATCGTGGTCGTGGACGTGGCAGTCATCGGGGAAAGCCGCGCGGAAAAAGTAGAGGACAATCGCTAGAACACAACTTTCCTCAGGATCATGAACCGTGTACAGAAGAAGAATTAGGCAAGATGGCTTGTCCACCTGGAAAAGGTAGAGGATTAGCAAAATATCGACGCAAACAGAATCTGACCAGCCTGCGGAGGTCCCTCGTCATGAAGAAGGTTAGTGTTGTTGCTTTATGGGCGGTCCATCACCACTCAATCATTATGCTTTGGTGGCATCTTGAATCATTCATTCACCTTCTTTGATAGAATAAACAACATAATACAGTATCTTTATCCACATTCTTCATTTTACAAAATTTCAGAATATTTACAGATTCCAACACTCTGCCAACTCATTTTAATGACCACTGCCTCATTCACTTACAAAATGGCAAACTGTGGGGTAATTCCCAAGTGATCCAAAACATTGCTACATCATTTGTGTATCAAAAGTGTTATCAAGGATGGAAATATTGTGAGCATCAACAAACATAGGCACTCTCTTTATAGTGAATAAATCATTCAGTTACCTTGGCACACACACACAGTGGGATAAATAAGTTACATACATACATTCATACAACTGTAACAGTGGGATAAATAAGTTTAATTTTATTAATACAGTAATATAAATTACAGGGATAATGCAAGCCTAAACTTTCTATGGTGATTACAGATCTGGGAGGCCCGACGTGAAGGCATCGTTCCACAGCGCACGAGCAATAGAGAAAAAAGGAACTATCAACCACGAGCCTCACGGACACGAGACAAAGTGCGTAAGGAGATGATCAAGCCTCCTAAGGCTCCAAACCCTTGGGATCTTCCGCTCAACGGTCCCATGAAGGTACAACCGCAGGTACCTTTGGACCGAATGGCACTTATAGTACACCAAACACAAGAAACAGTTCTAGCACAACCACAAGAGACAGTTCTACCACAACCACAAGAGACAGTTCTAGCACAACCACAAGTGACCGTTTTAGCACAGCCTTGTTCATCTTCTGATCAACAAGAGCTGTAAGTGCTGGTTGTGGAGTCATAATGCCCAAAAATAGCATAACCTCATGTATTGCTGTGGTCCTTCTTGGGAGCTAATGTAAGAAGGAACATCCAAGACATTCTGTTTACCTGCCTGTGTTTTGTAATTAAATTATACTTATAACTAGAGCCCCATTGCTTTGTTCACATTATCTCTGTAAAAGGAGGCAAAGTTTAAGAAAATTAATATAAATATAAATTAACTAAGCAATTAATCATAAAGTTACTGACCATTTTGTTCATATACTGTAAGTTGCCTATTTTGAAAGTTTTTCCTGACTCTGAAGGTTTTTAAATGACTAAAGATAAAGGTTTTTAGGAATAACAAATACCACTAAAGAATCACAGTGTTTAGTTTGGTATATTAAATATATAGCTAATTTGATGTTTATCCTGATGAGCAGATCCAATTCAGTAATCGGCTCTCTCCCATCCCTTAAAAAAAAAGTTAACTACCAGTACACATTTTTTGCATTTTTATATTGGGACACACTTACACCCCTTAAGTAGACAGCTCATCAAATAAAACATTAAAAAAAATTTCATTCTTCGATACAGTCAGTAATTTTGTTTTATACGAGGTCCCATGTGAAACAACACTGGCCACAGCATTAAGGTCTGTTGTGGCACATAACTGGACATCTAGATTTGATCATTGTAATAAGAGTGAAATTAATAAGGTCATTATTTAGTGTAACATTTTGGGTCCACATTTGATGTAAATTTCTACACTTTAGAGACAACTATAAAAGCTAAGAATTCTACCCATGGTTGTCATTGACCTGAGTTTGCCTATTATACCCTTGAGAAAAAATATATAAAGGTGATTTAAAACTTATGGGCACTGCATAATTGACATTTTAACTTCTATACATCTGCTGATAAGGAACTACACCAAATGATCCTTTCTATACATCTGTTGGTAAGGAACTACACCAAATGATCCTTTCTATACACCTGCTGGTAAGGAACTACACTAAATGATCCTTTCTATACACCTGCTGGTAAGGAACTACACTAAATGAACCTTTCTATACATCTGCTGGTAAGGAACTACACTAAATGAACCTTTCTATACATCTGCTGGTAAGGAACTACACTAAATGAACCTTTCTATACATCTGCTGGTAAGGAACTACACTAAATGATCCTTTCTATACATCTGTTGGAAAGGAACTACACCAAATGATCCTTTCTATACATCTTTTGGTAAGGAACTACACCAAATGATGCTTTCTATACACCTGCTGGTAAGAAACTACACTAAATGATCCTTTCTATGCATCTGCTGGTAAGGAACTACACTAAATGAACTCTTTCTATACATCTGCTGGTATGAACTGCACTAAATGAACCTTTCTATACATCTGCTGGTAAGGAACTACACCTTTCTATACAAATGACACCTTTCTATACATCTGCTGGTAAGGAACTACACTAAATGAACCTTTCTATACATCTGCTGGTAAGGAACTACACTAAATGAACCTTTCTATACATCTGCTGGTAAGGAACTACACTAAATGATCCTTTCTATACATCTGTTGGAAAGGAACTACACCAAATGATCCTTTCTATACATCTTTTGGTAAGGAACTACACCAAATGATGCTTTCTATACACCTGCTGGTAAGAAACTACACTAAATGATCCTTTCTATGCATCTGCTGGTAAGGAACTACACTACATTAAACCGGAGTGCCCCTGTAGCATACTGTATGTGGCCAGTTGTCAATTCTCTTTGTATGGGCACACAAACGTACGTACATGTAGATATCTCACTCAGGAATGAGGCAGGATAGAAACTCACAATGCGCTTTCTGTATATATATTGTTGTATAGCGCAGTGCTTAGGAGTGACTAGGTGAGGAGAAACTTGCTCAGAGGTCCTGTAGGGTGAAAGGTATCTGAGGAAGCTGAGTGGTGAGGAGCTGTGAGAGATGTTGCTGGTCCAGTAACCGAGTGTAGAAATGGTCTCCCTGGCCAGGCATGGCCGTATTTATAAAATTCACGAGGATCAGGATTTGGGGTGAGCGTAGCGAGAGGGCCAATCACAGCGGCTTAAGCGTAAGGTGTGAAACGCTCTGATCCTGAACCAGAGGTTGAAGGTTGAGACTAGGCCGGCGATCGTACCCCTACGTCCTCTGCATAGACCTAGTCTCTCGGCGTAGCTGGCTGTACGCTGATTGGCTGGTAGGCGCGCGGCCGGAGCTCAGTTGGGAGTTGTAGGGGAGAGGAGCCACTACACCCCAACCTTCATTTATAATTGATAGTTTAGCAAAACTACACTATGAGCAGTTGGCATGAGAGGATGATGTCTACTAGGAACACAAAGACAGTCATTTCGTCCTGTTCTATGTTTGATATCCAGGAACATAAAAAATGGGATTCTAAGAAGTTAAGGGTGGGGGAACCTGGCGAGCAAAGCGAGCCTCCCACCCCCTCCCCCCGGTCCAGATTTTTTTTTTAAACACCAATATCATGGGCATTTTGAGACCATTTTAAAGCCATGTGCGCTTGATATTAAGAGATGTCTGAGGTTAATATTAATTAATTATTACTAATAGTAATTAATTTTTACTATACGAAAATGCCCGAGTGCAATACTATAATAAAATAAAATATTGGAGTTTTCTGATGAAAATTGGGGGTCCGGACCTCCCTGGATCCTCCCTAAGTTCAGTGCCTTGCATATGCATTTCACTGCAGAGCCTTTGTCCAAAGCATCTACACGCAGTTATACATCGACTTTTGGTGAGTTATTTATTGTAAGTTCTTTATTTGTTGTTTTATCAGACATTTTGAAATTATATATATTATAATAGTCACCCTTATTACAGTGAATTTTCTATGATATTCACCCGTGGTATCACTCCATTTTCTACTTCTTGAGTATTCGGGATAACTATTATTAGAAGTTCTAGCACTTTTATTTATTTTATTCAATACTGTTCCACCTGATGTTAAAGTTGTTTAAAGAGACGAAAATAAGTATGATATAAAAACACATAAAATTAATGGTAACGTTGACAGTGCCTTAGTTACAGAGCCTCATTATAACATAAACAATTGGGTATGTAGTGGATTCCTCCCCTACAAACGCTGTTTGTCGCTGACGAGCCGACCCACGAATCCAGCCGCACCTCGTGTGAGTCGTGTCTAGGTCAGCAACCTGCGCCGCCGTACATCACGGTGGTCAACTATTAAGCCAGGCCTATCTCCGCTATATCAGACCTGACCTCGTGGTGACCTACCTCTTTCTACTCACAGCCACCAGCAAGCAACACCTCCTCCTCCTCCACTCCTGCCTGGCGGCCCTCTGCTGGTCATGAGACCAGTCTCTCACATTTCAATGAGCACAGAGTGTCTCATCCCATCCTGAGTGTGAACCAATATCTCGTAGCCCACAGGTAAACCGAGAGCCAAGATCCGGTTGAGGGCCAGGGTTCGCTTGAGGGCTTACACTTCGGCACCTCAGCTACCCTGAGAGATTAAAGCGCTTGCAACCATCTATCTAACTATCTATTGCTAATGCTAATCAGCGTTAACCACCCTGTAAAGTACGGTAATTACCATAATTGTAGTCGGGGAAGTATTTCGTCTACATATATCTTCCTCGTAAGGTTTTCTGAGTTAAAGGTATAATTAATTTGAAAAGTATTTTACTATTCTTAGAATAAAGCAAATGTGTTAGTAATATTAAAGTATTTATTTATGATATAATAAGTGAGTAAATCAGTAATGTTGGCAGCCCTGATTCGTCAACGAATGGTTCTTTCCGAAGCTGAAGAATTTGGAGCGCTGTACAGTATTCTTCTTTCCATTTTTTCCATAAAGTTTCTGATTCTTAGTTTTCTACACCACAATATAAATTAATTTATTAAAAAATTTGTATGTACGATTAAGTTTGGATATATTTTTTAAAATCCTGCATTCGGATAAGGTAATTGGTGGGAGGACGGACTATATAAAGAGGTGATTCGCCATCAAAGTGCAGTGCTCACTGAGACACAGAGGGGGAGGTGCTGCCGGTCGTTTCTCTCACCTGACGGACGCTGTTGTTTTTAATGTATGGTAAGTTTTATTTTTTAATTTGAAGTGATTAAATTTGTACTTGTGTAATAGTCAATATATTAAGGTTTAGGTAATTCAATAGGACTAACCCGCGAACGAAATTAACTGAAGACCATTATAAAATGCCGGATTTTCATTGTTAAAGTATAGTGGACTGAGTTTGAGGAAGAAACTTAGTGATATGGTGAAATGTGAGGCATTTTCTGGACACGAGATGATATTGCGCTATGCAGCTCTGGCGGGTTAGTCAAATATTAACCGTTATTTATTTGTAGATTTTGTACGAAGTGATATATTTTAAAAAGGAAAAAATATTAAATGGATTTAAAAAAAAAATATTGGAGGTACACAAGGCGGAGTTAATTTTTTACTGTTACGAACAAGCACTAGTGAACATGCACAAGTTAATGGTCGTTAACGCTCGTAATCACTGACTACTGTAGTTATTAGAGAGAATACTTTACTGTTTTGGGTTATGCTTTTATTTAAATTAATGAAATATGGTTGTTTTGGTCACCGTCCTTTGACTTTGTGAATATTTAAGTTACTAACCAACCTATCCTAACTAAAAAAAAAAATATTTGCCCCGAAAATAAATTTTGGTCCTCTAAAACGGCAAGAAAACCAGCAAAAAAAAAGTATTCATGTGAAGAAATGTGATGGGTGGTAAACGATTTTTTTTATAGTTAAATTCGCATCGAAAATGGAATTTCCTGGATACTGTTGAGGTCACTTGTCACGGTTTGCGAATACAATTACGTATTGGGACTTCATTGTGAAATTCCACCACGAAATTTGGCAATAGAATTTTTACGTGATCACGGTGTTTTGCCGAAGTGTGTACAGTATACGAACTGTAGTTTACCCTGTAGATTCGAGCCAGACCCTCGGCGTGTCCCTGGCCGCTTGACTTCTAATTAATTTATTATACTGATTTGTGGGTCAGGCATGGTTTGGTTAGCTTGAGTTAGGTTAGGATTCGTTACCTTGGGGAGGGGGGGGGGGATACACGGCCGGATGTTTAAGTTTTTAACCATCCCCTCAGCTTTTAGATCTCCTTGTTTGGAATATTTTTAACCCCATTTCAACCAGGGTGATAAAAATGTAAAATTAATTTTAAGTTTTTCCATACTTCTTTTTTGGTGGGGTAGTGGGGGGAGGGGGGGGGTGTAACTTAAAAGAAGGTACTCTCCCCCGGAAATAAAGGTCAATCTATTAAATCGCACAAAATACACGGATAAACTAATTAATAAACTACTAGAGCATATTGGCTGAAACTGCAATTTTAAGTAGATTTTCACCAGTACGTTGTTCTCCATTTAGTTAATACAGATAACTACTTGTATTCTATATTAACTTTATATTTAGTGAAGAATGTGGATTACCTCTGTCGTAAATGGTGGAATTTAAAGTTTTATTTGATATTTATTAAATTTTACAAGGAACATTAATGTTCTGGGATGATGGCCTGTTGAAGTTTGTAGACAGTCGTTGGATTAGTTATTCATAATTGTATGTTATTTTCTTAAAATTTTAACTTGGTTTGGATTAATTTGAGTTATTTTGTTTTTTTTGTTGCTGCATTTTTACAATAAATTGGAGAAAGTGTTGAATGTTGCTATGCCTTATTCTTACCAACAGCTCTTGAATGTAATTAAACATTTTTTTCACTAACAGATATCTTGCCTAATGTTCATCAATAATCATCTAGTACTGTACAGTTCTATAAAACATTGTAGGGGCCAGTCAACCATTATAATCATTGGGATGACGACGGAATACTGTACTTGTATTACTGTACACTGTAACAAAGCTTGTCAAAATGTCGTTGATATCACTACTTGGTAGTGATATCAGAGCTATGGTAAAAATAAGGTTGCGTAACTTTGCGTTTCTCTACTTTTCATATTTGGCATGAAGTTTTGCTGTGTAATGCTTAATTTATTCAGTAAACTAGTTCACAGGTGTCCCTTAATCTACTAAAATTGTTCCTAGAAATGCATTTATTAAGTGGAAGTAATTTATATATTGCAGTATTATTGGGGTTATGTCCCTGTGAGGAAAAAAATCTTTATTCAAATACAGATAAAAATGGCATCAAAATGATTTACTTAGTTTGATTTTGTGTAGTGCATGACATTTGTTGAAACTTGTTTTATCAGGCATACGTACTGTATATTCGGGGATACCTGCATTGATGTAGTATGTACTGTACTGTGTATAGACCATGTACTGTAGGTATAATTAATTTTTTTTAGTTCATTATTGTAAAAAAATTTCATTCCAGGATCATTTGAAGATGGAGGATGCAAGAAATGATGACCAAGAGTTTTCTTCTGGTGAACTGACTTGCTGCACCAGAAACAAGTCAGGTTGGTTCCAGTACAGGTCTTCTCTCACTGGTTTCTTCACTAAACTCTGTACTAAGTACAGTAATTGTTACCCATGGACTGCCGTGTCTAGTTGACTACTCTTCTAAGTATAAATATCAAAGTATAAGTACAGTACTGTATATTACTAGGGATGCACAAATTAATTGATATTGGCTACAGATATAAATATTTTGCTGAATAATCAGTATCTCTAAAAAAGTAATATCTGATGCCATTTTGTGGTCTGATTTGGGTTTAGAAATTCCTTGGTAACATTTTTATTATTAGCAAAATACAATAATTAGTGAAACCATTTAATCTGTTCACTTAAGGAAATGTCACACTTGGCCGCCAAGCATTGTCTTGTAGTTTTGTGATTGGATAACATGGCAGTATCCCCTGTGCAAGTCCATACAGCACTTCATTGTACGGTAATGAATATATTATCTTGCCAGACAAAGCTTTCATTTAATCTGAAGAGAAAAATAATCCGGTAAAGACTGTCGCTGACGAGAAATTGTTGTAGCATTGTTAAAGTACATTTGATATTATATTTACCAATATTACCCAAATTAGAACGACCCTGTACAGTATTATCATAACTCCTATAATAAACGACATAGGTTGTTGAGGCTGGAGAGGAGTTCTTGATGACTAAATTGGTCAAAGAAAGGTCCGTTTTAAATACTATATTTTAATAGGGAATGAGTAAATAATGGTTAAATGTTCCATTATAGGTTTAACAGTAGAAAAAAAAAGTCGGTCATGAGGAGATTTTAACATCAATAATAAAGGAATATCAATTTAGTAACACTCGCTAGTTAATATTTTCTGAGCTTGGTGTGGTTTATCATTGCCTCGCTCCTACTGCATGCCTACTCTGACCTGACACTCTACCTCAAGCCTTATTGCTTTCATTATGGCAATAGTAATGACTTTCCTGGGCACCTTGGCTGGTTTACCAACACAAGATGAGGTGTTGGTTAGATTACAATTTGCGTTATAAGATTAGTCGGTACTTTTTTATACCGTACAGTATATATTTAATGTAGACAATGTACAGTCGTGGTCTAAAGTCTTGAACACTTAGCAATATCTGTCATCTACTTTTGAGTTATATGATTGGGGATATACTAATAACACTAATCATATTATGCCTGAACCACAAAATAGGATTAAACTCTAATACCCAGGATCTTCGGGTACTTGCATGCCAAATACTGTCAAGTGTTCAACACTTTTGACCCCGACTGTACATGGTATTTTGCCTGGATAGTTGCAGCTTCTAATAGCCTTGATATTATTTACCTCGAAGTAGTTGACCACTTGATTAGCGAGTCACGTTAATACTTACTGCGTGTTGTGCCGGGTAGACTTGAATGCTGCAATAATGAAATTTAAAACTCGGCTACTCCAAATATTGCTGCTTCAAGAATTCCATAAGACTTACTAAAGTTGATGTATTTGTGGACAGGTTCTCTACCACCAGAGTAAATTGCTTTATTTAAATATTGTATTTGGCTATTTTGCTTTGTTTATAGTCTGACAAGTGTTTTACCTGCATGATAAAATTGACCTAAATTATAGCAGGAACTCTAAATCTGTGTTTGTCTGTTTTAAATCTGGCAGCAGATTATTGGGAGAATTTTGAATCTGGTTATCATTAATGGTGCATCACTAATGGATGTATTTGATAGTTCTTGCATTACTGTACTAGATGAAGTGGATTAATGTGGTACTTCCATAGAGGATAAAACCTTCAGTTTAGGGTCATGTTATACAATACTGTATTAGGATAAATTAGTATTGTGAAAATATCTTGCATGAAACCTTTTATAGGTAATATGTGACTTTACTTCCAGTAGGTTCTGGACCTTGTCAAGGAGAGGTGTGCACTCTGCTGTACCAAGCTTCTCTCCTCCAATATCAGGATGGCAAGTGATTCACAACACAACTAAAGGAAGCAGGTGGTACAGCCCAGACCCCAGCCTTCCACCCCTCCTCTCTACCTCAGGTAAAGAATATAACAAGTTCAGTTGATGTAAAAATACACAGAAAACAATATTTTACTTATAAAATAGCCTCAGAATGATCACTTAAGGGGAGTAAAGTTTACTTTATCAGCCTGTGTTTTATGAACTTTTCCAACACTCGGATTGGAATTTCTCTCCCAGTTTGTCCTTAAAACCAAAGACAAACAAATTGCTCTGGGATATTCAATGACCATACTAGATTTCTTGGTGCTATAAATTTCAAGACAAAATAGAAAGTAATGGAGAAATTATACTTAAATTTATATATAAGAGAAAATGTGTAAAGGGTTGAGAATATTGAAAGAGGATTATGGGGCTAGAATTTATGTACAGTCTTGGTCAAAAGTGCTGAACACGTGACCGTATTTGGCATGCAAGTACCGAAGATCTTTGGTATTAAGTAGTTTAATCCTATTTTGTGGTTCAGGCATATGATAGTACTGTTGTGTTATTAGTACAGTATATCCCAATCATATAACTCAAGTAGATGACAGATATTGCCAAGTGTTCAACACTTTTGATCCTGAATGTACCTATGATCCTTTATTGATGACAGGAATATCATAACAATTGACCAAAGTTAAAAGCCCCAAAACTGGACTCTGGCCGTAACTACTTATAACTTCTCAACCAATCGTTTAATACATCAAATTTATAACACCAGAAATAATTATTGGTCATGTTTATGCTTGACTTTAATTAATTCAGTAAAGTACATAAAGTTACCTACAAGATGAGTATGTTTAGTAAATAATAAAGTACTCTTAGCAACATTCACTTGTAATACTGTACCAGTACTGTACCAGACCTGTGACTGACCCACTCGAGGAATTCATTGACGTAAAGTAAAAATATTCATCACAAATCAATAATTTCTGGGTCAAAGTCATTGAAAGAAAACATTTAAAATATATTAACAAAACTATGAACCAAAGATACAGGAAATATTGTAGTTAAGCATCAATAACTATTATGGTTAAACTAAACTCACTTGTGGGTAAGTTTTGTAATGAAAGGTTTTTGGTTTTTATAGTTTAGTTAATATGAACCATAACTTGTACAGTTAGGTTAAGTTGCTGTACAGTTACTGATAATATTCCCTAGACACTTGTTCTCAAGGATCATTTGGTGAAAAATTCAAATTAACAAAAATTCTTATTTTTCTATTGAGTTTATAAATTTGGTTCTGTCAAGTGTTAAGGAATTTTGTCTAAAACACTACAGTTCATTTTGTCATTACTATATTTAAAACATTTTTATGGTTAAAAAATTTGAATATTAATTTTACATTTTATTTTGTATAGAAATGTTGTTCTGAACACTGGAGTGCCGTGCTGCCCTAGACTGTGATTACTGGTTACTGCCTTGGACTTCCCTGTACTTGCCTTTCTGCTGGTTGCCACCCTGGACGGTTTGCTCTGTGCTTGCTGGTTACCCTGACGGCTCTGTTTGGTGCTTTGGTTTGGTTGCTGCCCTGACTGTTTGTGCTTGCTTTGCTGGCTGCCACCTTTGGGGCTGGCTCTGCCCTTGCTGGTTGCTGCCAGATGGTTTCTGTTTGTGCATGCTGCTGCCCTGGACGGCTCTGCTCTGTGCATGCTGCTGCCCTGACGGCTCTGCTCTGTGCGTGTTGCTGCCTGGATTTTGCCTCTGCTCTGTGCTTGCTGCCCCTGGCAATTTATAGAGCCATTAAGCTCAAGTAATAAATGTCTAAAATGCCGATACGCTTCCTTTATTAACTCTTTCCAGCATTTACAATATTTTCAACTTACAAGCAGAAAATTGACAAGTTCAGCTTCAGATTTTGAAGCAAATAATTTGATGAAATATCGAAAAAATATCTAATTCATTATATACAAATATAATATAAAATATATATATATTAAATTTGAAAATAAATATATAATAATATAAATATATATAATATATATATATATATATATATATATATATATATATATATATATATAAATAAAATATATACAAATATATATAAATATAAAAAAAAATGTAAAAATTATAAAATAAATAAATATAAATAACTAAATAACTCAGAAAAATAGCTAAAAATACAAAAAACAGCTAAATATGGAAAAAATGGCTAAAAATAAAAATTTGAGCAAAAAATGGTCAGAAAAATTTTGGCTCTTTCACCCTATGTTTTTTGAGTTTGCTATCACAGGACTAACCTTGAAAAAATTTGGTAAAGGATAATCGAAGAGTCTTGATGAAAGTTTTCTCAAATTATCATTCACCAATAATATATAAATAAAGATATCTGATTACCCATGTGAAGAGGAATCAGTTAGCCCAGTGAGTACTTTTACACCCAGGTAGTCAGTTATGTTTTATAATACACAGATGCCAAGCTGGAGCTCAGAGTCGTACACAAATGTTTTTAATTTAAAACCACACAAAAATTTATTATTACTCAAAAATTTGCTCAGGAATAATTTTACCATTTTGGACTTAGAATATTTTTAACGATGAATTTTGGACTTGGAATATCTTCAAATAATGAATTTTTAGACTTAGAATATTTTTGAAGATGCATTTTGATACAAAGAATATTTAAAAGGGTGAATTTTTGACATAGAATATTTTGAACAAAGGAATTTTTGGACTTAGAATCTTTTTTAACGATGATTTCGACTTAGAATATTTTAAATGATGAATTTTAGGATCTGGAATATTTTTAACGGCGCGAATTGGACTTATAATAATTTTTGACTTAGAATATTTTTAAATGATGAATTTTGACCTTGAATATTTGAAATAATGAAATTTTTTGGACTTTCATTGAATAGGGATCGCTGTAATTCGCATTTCGTTTAATTTGTGATATTTCAAAAAATTAATTAAACGATTTGAATTTGGAACAATATGAAAAACTGGAGTGGTTCAAAAAAGTTGGTTTTGGCTGTCATATACAATATTATATTTATACTTACAGCAAATATAAATAGTTATAAAATGTACTTACAATAATAAAGCAAATAATACAGTAATAAATAATGAGAGAGATCAGATGATATTCATATAACGCTACACTGGTAAACGAAGTAAAACCCTCATTGGAGAAATATAAGATGAAATTTTGGAGCTGATTTGACTATAGTGCATATTTTATCAGATGAGAAGAGATGCCCCGCCCCCTCCTCAAGAGTTACACCTGATTGGCTGTTGCAAATCTGTCCGATTTCCTCCTGAAGTAATGATGTATTTCTAAATGAGTTTATTCATAATGACCATTTCTGACGAGAAAGACATTTAGCTAAATTATTTAAAGATTCATACATTAATTATATCAAACATAAACAAGTAGGAAGTTTATCAGAAATATTATACAAGAATTAACTGTTAAACTCTGGTGGCAAATTGACGCTTTCGGAGGACGCATTTAATATATACTTATTTTTACCCACAATAATACACAAATTACGTATCTCTTCTCAGCTGGGATAAAACACACTATAGGTCCCTCTTCTGCCAACTAACACAACAAAACAAGGGAGAAATACATAGAACAAAGGAAAAGTCTCCTGAGTTAGGTAGGTTGGGGATTAATCTTCTTGATGAGAGCAGTGGACCCCAGACCTGATCCTCAATACTATTACACTTTCTGAATATCATCCACATATTATCAGTTCACCTCACAATGTGCAGTAAGTCTTACAGTTATTTATTACTGTATTATTTACTTTATTATTACTGTTTGTGCACTTAAAAAATATTTGTTTGCACAGTAATTATAAATAAGATTATTTTGTGTGGCAGTCAAGGCATGGTAACTGAGTATGTTTGTTGGTTGGAATAATGAGGAACAATCTGAACAGAAAACGAACAAATAATTGAACAAAAAGATTGAGAAAGTGTGGAATGTCAAAATATTCGGAACTCGGTTAATTTGTATTTTCAGTAATTCGGTGGACCACAAACGGCACTATACTCTCATTGATTTGACAAAAGAGACTCTGCGTCACTCAAATTACCGAAAATACGAATTAACCGAGTTTCGAATATTTTGATATTACTCGACAATTCCTAAATTTTTTGTGTTCAATTACTGTATTCATTTGTTTTCTGTTCAGATTGTTCCTCATCATTCCAACCAACAAACATACTCAGGTACTATAGTAGCACCGACATTTCTTTACAACCTATCCTCATGTCATTCTTTGCCTACCTGTAACTCCCCTCCCCTCCACATTCATTTGTGTATCTCTTGACCCAGTTAGTTTCCTCCTTTCTCTCCTGAACCATCTCAGTTTAGCCTCCAGGTACTGTACTTCTCTCTGTTGCCAACCATCTTCCACATCTCACACAATCTTCTTTTCTCTTTTTATCTCTCTTTTCAGTTCCTTCACAATTCCCACACTCTCCTTCTTGGAACATCCACCTTCTTCCTCTCCCTCCATCTTTAAGTAACACACACACACACACACACAAGCAACCTGTTCTAATTTCCTGACCAAAATGTAGCCAATCTGGGTTTCTGTGCCACCTGCCTTAGGCCTACACAGTCAGCCTACTTGCCCTATTCTTAAACACATGTTACATACCATCCCCAAACTCAAGTGTTCTTTCACCTTCAGTATTCCTTATTCCAAAGCCTTTCCCACCACGCACACCTTCATAACCCAGCGCGACAAATTTGGACAATAAAAATAGTTTGTTTTAACGGAGATCACTACACAATAAACTGTATCTCCTAAAACAACATTAACTGCCACGACTATAACAGAATAATTGCCGCTCAAGTCACTCGACAGATTTTACGGCAACATTAAATGACGCCGAACTAATGAGATAGAATTCCTAAACGAACAATAAAATGTATTTATGGTTTAGTTTAACCTAAATGGTAAATATATGTAAAGTACCTGAACGGTTCAACAGTCTCACTAAATCACATTAATTCTAAAGTCCTTAAAAACAATTTTGTTCCTTAATTTCAAATCATATTGTGATGCATTCTGTCCAGTAAATTTAAGATAACTTAGCCAAATTATACCGATGTTTGGTTTAACAAACAAGACAAATTGTTTGAATTCCAGAGCCACAGCTAAACACCTCATTAATATTGACCTCTGCACCACACTACAACAGAGGGCCACCCAAAGATGAAAACAACATTGTAGTGCTCAGCATTGATGGCATAAGCACTCGACCACTCTTTAGACAGATAGATATACTGTATATTTATTATGTAAACTTATCATATAAGTTTGCTAAATTGGTTCAACTCTGCATATAGACAATGTAGGCATACAGTTCACATGTATATAGCCAATACAGGTATAAAGTTCACCATGTATCTAGATAATGCAGATATACAGTCTATATATTGTATTAGCCTCTGTCATATTAATATTATATAAATATGAGCTGTTGACAGATATTCAATATATAACATTCTATCACCCAGACTATTGAGCATATAGTTACATAAACATGTGTTCTGTCACACCTCCTAGGGTGTACAGCCCATAAACATTTGTTCTGTCACACCTCCTAGGGTGTACAGCCCATAAACATTTGTTCTGTCACACCTCCTAGGGTGTACAGCCCATAAACATGTGTTCTGTCACACCTTCTAGGGTGTACAGCCCATAAACATGTGTTCTGTCACACCTCCTAGGGTGTACAGCCCATAAACATGTGTTCTGTCACACCTCCTAGGGTGTACAGCCCATAAACATTTGTTCTGTCACACCTCCTAGGGTGTACAGCCCATAAACATGTGTTCTGTCACACCTCCTAGGGTGTACAGCCCATAAACATGTGTTCTGTCACACCTCCTAGGGTGTACAGCCCATAAACATGTGTTGTCACACCTCCTAGAGTGTACAGCCCATAAACATTGTTCTTTAACACCTTCTAGGGTGTACAGCCCATAAACATTTGTTCTGTCACACCTCCTAGGGTGTACTCCATAAACATTTGTTCTGTCACACCTCCTAGAGTGTACAGCCCATAAACATTTGTTCTTTAACACCTTCTAGGGTGTACAGCCCATAAACATTTGTTCTGTCACACCTCCTAGGGTGTACAGCCCATAAACATTTGTTCTTTAGCACCTCCTAGGGTGTACAGCCCATAAACATTTGTTCTGTCACACCTCCTAGGGTGTACAGCCCATAAACATTTGTTCTGTCACACCTCCTAGGGTGTTATCTGGAACCTAACCCCCGTGATTATCAAGGATACATGATAATGTTTCTTGGCATTGTTAAATAAATACATGTGTCCATAGGTTGCTTCATTGTAGCTCCTCATATACCAAGATTAACATTGTCATTATTCTGGTGGGTGTGTCTCATAAGTAAGACAAATGCTGTAACTGTAGGAACCAATGTATCCATAGACTGCTTCACTCATTTTGTGTTAAATGCCAAGAAACATTAACATATTACTTTAAAAATTATTATGGTGGATTTGTTTCATAAATGGGAATAGACTGTTATTGTAAACTGAAAATATCGTAAGGTGGAAGTGACGATAAACTGCTTCACTGTCCGTGCTAATACAATATCAACCTTACTTTTGGGTTAGGTAGGATATAAATTTTGGTGGGTTGGCACACAGAAAAATACTTAAATGATAATGCAGCCCATGACTGAGGACAGGATGCCCATGACTGAGGAAAGGTTGCCCATGACTGAGGAAAGGGTGCCCATGACTGAGGACAGGATGCCCATGACTGAGGAAAGGTTGCCCATGACTGAGAGAGGTTGCTCATGACTGAGGAAAGGGTGCCCATGACTGAGGAAAGGTTGCCCAAGACTGAGGAAAGGTTGCCCATGCCTGGTCTAAAACATAAGAAAAATACATTGCTTAACTCACGAGCCATATTGGTTGAAAAAGTAAATTTACCAATACTTGTATTGATAAATAGATTGACAGTTATACAATAGATAAAACAGACTGAGATAGGTATTGATAGATATACTGAAAGGCACATAAAGACAGACAGACACAAACATGCATAAACAGTTAAGTAGATAGAAAGATATAAATGAAAAACAGACAGACAACAAATGACTCCTTTAGTTTACCTTGTGATATGTTGTGGTGGTGTTATAGTGTTCATTGGAATTAAGTTCTACAATGGCAGTTATTTGTCTCAGCCTGCAGTGATCATTTTTAGTTGTGATGGTGCTGTTCAATTTACCAGGGTTAACTCATCTGTAACAAACAAAAACATTTAATATACACAACAGTTTATGATAAAAATATGTCCATAAATTAATACCTGTAGTCACTCAGTACAGAAGTTATTTGTTTTATGCAAGTTTGGTTTAAGTGAACTTTATTGGGACTGTAAATCTTGCATGCTTGTCCTTTTTGCCTTAATATTCCCAGCTAAATTAGTGGTACATTAATACAGTAGTTTAGACAGACAGACATGTAGAATCCCAGTTATCCGGCCCCTATTAGGATTCAGAGGTGCCGAATTAACAGAATTTTCCCGTTAGTTCAAACTCACTCTTGGGATCCCCAATAAATCCTACAATGCTGACCGAGCAAATTCATGTCTCAGAACAACTTTACATGCTGATTAAGGATCTGTTCACAATTTAATAATTAAGGTAATTGGTGTTAATTAATGACTTTTGGAATAATTAAAGATACCTGTATTTAAAATATTTAAAAAGTCAATTACGCTGTGGCTGCAAGTTTTAAATAACCTTTATATACATTCTCGAAATGATAAATAGATACTGACAGATATTGGTAAGCCATATGGATAGACATACAGTACATAGATTGACAGATTGACAAATACTTATTGATAAATAGATTGACAAATACAGATAAAACTGATTGAAACAGGTATTCATAGATAGATATTGGTAGATAATAGATAGATAAATTGATAGATATACTGAAAGGCACAAAAAGACAGACATAAGGAGTTAGAATTCAGTGGTTCCCAACCTCTTCTGTTCTGTGACCCCCAGACAAGATGTGAAAACTACAGTTGCCCAAGTCTAAATCTTTCTTCGATGAAACAAACTAAACGTCACTGGAATGAGCAGTTGGATATAATACAGGGTACTTTATTATTATTAGTGATATATATAGTACCAGTAGCTACATAAAATAGAACTGTCACACAATAAAAGATTCCAAGTCACGGATAGTGTGTGTGAACAATATAAACCTCTGTTGTGTCTGCAGTAAATGCTGTGTATTATAATCTCACATAAATAAACTCAACTCCACAACAACTCGGGTAATCAAAACTATGGACGCTGTGCATGAGCGTCATAGTGCTGTTTCTATTTGATGCTCAACAGCGTGAAAATAGCCGTTTCACAGAGACAGGTAGACGAGAATGGCAGAAGCATCGGGATAACCAGTTTGTTGATATTAAAGTAGTGGCCCATTGCCACCCAAAACTCTGTCAGGCATCATTAGCTCAGATGGTTTAAACCAGGGGTCAACAACCTTTATACACTAATTAGCCACATCGTAAACAACAAATAAGTCATCACACAGTGTAGTTATGCAATATGTATTAAATTTACAAAATAAAACTTGAAATTGGGCATTAAGAAATACAGAACTAAATTATATACTGTACCAGTACTGGATTCAGACAAGTACAGTAATGGTACTACAGTATATGGAAATTTTGTTTGAGTTTCCCAATGGGTGGTAATAAATACTAATACAATACAACATAAAATTATGTTTCACATTGAACAATACAGAGGAAATAGTTACTACAATGTGCATTTGATTAGACTCAAAAGAATATCCTCTGCAATTTTTGTGAAATCTGGTTCAAATATAGTAAAAGCTGCTACCACAATTGCCTTCTTTATGATTTTTAGAGAGCTTTAAGGGGTACAGTACAGTACTTGCTCCTTACACAAGACTACTCCTTTAAGTGTTACCCGATTCACGTTTTTTTCTCCAAAGTCTAACACTGACTTTTGTGGTTTTGTGAAAATGTTTTTGGATATTAATCTGCAGGTCCAAGAGCTAAAGCTGTGCCTCACCAAGAACACAATACTACCACGTTGGAAACACCGCTTCTTGTCCAAATAGCAAAGTTAGTACTTAGATGGTAACTGCCCGGCCCTAAGAACACCACATGCTGCTGACATAAGGACTCTACTGGAAATAATTATCTCACGGCTGACAATGACTGTCCACGTCTGCTTAAAAAGAATAGGATTTAAATTGTAAACCCAGATACTTAATCAGCATGTAAAGTAGTACAGAACCTTTGTATGAATTTTAAACCATACTTGAGCATAAGTACTAAAAATTTTTAGTACTTTTTAAGAAGTGGATAATAAAAAATGTGACATGAGTACAGTACTCACGTAACATTTATTTCATTACTTCAAAACTCTGCTAAAAACTATGTCTCTTTCAGGAACATAAATAAACCAATTTTAACTCTTTCAGTTTTTTAAGTATAACTTTAAAGTACTGTATGTATAATTTTAAACAGCTTGACAGAACAAATAAAACACTATAATCTACTGACAGGTCTAAGGTAACAGATAATGAGCCACAGTAAACAATAAATTCCAACAATTATTTGGTCTAGGATGGTCAAGCCTTGTTTAGTATTATTATGAACTCACATGGATCAAATTACCCCCATTGTTGCCAGGCTGGGAACCACCAACTGTTAAATATATAGAAAGATACAAAAAGGAAGACAAATGACTAACAGCAGCACAGTTACAACAACAACAATTTATGGTCAAACAGTAGTTGTGGCTGAAACTGTAAATTTGCATTATCTTCAAACTCACTTAACACGACTTACAGTACACGACACACTAATAACAGTTTGACAGACACAAAGATTTCCTGTATAGGCTATGAGAGCTGTTCCTATAGTTTACCTTGCCATAGGTGGTGGTGCTGTGGTGGTGGTAATGGTGAGGCTGGTGGGAGCTCTTGCTCCATGCTCCAGTTATCATTTTCATCTGTCATGGATCAGTTCAATTTCCCCAAGTTTTGTTGTAACATCTCCGCCTGTAACAAACAAAATATTATATTTACTACCAATAAAAAAAACTTGGGCAGGTTAGGTTAGGTTAGACCCAGACAGCTGCTGTACCATCTATTATTATTATCATCATTGGTATTATTACAGCTTCAGCCACAACTCAGAGAAATTTTGTGTTTACTATTAGTTATCTCTCATCAATTGGAACAACTTTATCTAAAACTGTACCACTTTATGTAAAAAATTAACACAAGTCTACAGTCACAGCGAGTTATTTGTTTACAAATGACCCACTCGGTCTGAGGGTCTGAGCAGGGTCCAACTAATTACCCAAATGTACCCAAATGTAGCCAAATATAGCCGCAATGAAGTCAAATAATGGTCCTACATGAATAAATCGGACTGCTAATCACTTCTCGACTAGTATTTGGTGTCAGAAAGTCACAAAAAATTGGAAAACTTACTTTAATCTGAGTTAATAGATCGCGTGCATGTACCGACGGAGCGAGGAATTACCCAAATGTAGCAGCAATGAAGTCAAATGATGGTCGTACAAGCGTAATTCGGGCTGTGAATCACTTCTCGATTATTATTTGGTGTCATAAAGTAAAAAAAAATTGGTAAACTTAATTTAATCTGAGTTGTGTTGTGTTAGGTTAGGTTAGGTTAGGTACATGCACTTGATCTATTAACTCAGATTAAATTAAGTTTACCAATTTTTTGTGACTTCGTGACACCAAATACTAGTCGAGGTGAGGTTAGGTTAGGTTAGGTACATGCACTTGATCTATTAACTCAGATTAAATTAAGTTTACCAATTTTTTGTGACTTTCTGACACCAAATACTAGTCGAAAAGTGATTGGCAGTCAGATTTATTCATCTAGGACCATTATTTGACTTCATTCCGGCTATATTTGGGTACATTTGGGTAATTAGTCGGACCCTCTGAGCATACTGTACTGTACTGACCAAATCTAATAATATTGAAAAATTAATATCTCGGTTATCCTCAATTTCCGGCAGAAATATCACAGAAGAAAAGGTCTTAGAATTGCCTAAACATTACGAAAAACATATCAATAACAGCGAGAGAAATACCGGTGCAAGATCGAAATTTCACCGAAGAAAATTATCTTAAAATTAGACGTCTTATTCGAATACGATAACAGATTTGGGGTATAAAAGATGTGTGAACTAATAAAAAAAAAACGAAAATGGTGGGTGAGGCATCCTGCAACTTCTCTCTGCAATATCCAGACTGAATGGCCCATTAGAGTAGACTGTATATGTATATGATTTTAAATCCATGTGCTTAAAATAGTTACAATAGATAAGCCTCAAAAAGCCTGACAGTTAATACCATTGTTGACATCTGCCCATCCAATGTGAGGCCGAGTTCACTGGGCCCAGTAACCAAGGGCCGACTTCACTCTTACTTTGTCCAAAATGTCGTCACAACGATCACAGGCTCTCTCTCTCTCTCTTTGTATAATCCCCGCACACATATCCCACAAATGTCGTCACAATACAATATAACAAAACCATTTTTCTCACACACCTCCCAGCAGCTGTTGTTGTGTACATCCTGGCGGAGGGTATGGCCGTCAGGGTTTACATAAAAGGCAATAGTTTTACCTTAAATTTATTTTTAAACGCTCTTAAAATTATAAAATTCCTCTAAAATAGTGTTAATTATCTTAAATTGTGTAAATTTTGTCACTGTGTGTTGTATGCTAATAATGCTTTAATAATTTTATATAAGATCTCCCTCAAAGCAAGATATTTCGTCACTAAATTAACAGAGAAAAGGGTTACACCCCAACTCGGCCCAACTCACTCCATCGACAACTCAGTCCATCGCAATTCAATTCAATTCAATTCAAATCGCCAACTCGACCCATCACCAACACGGTCCATCGCCAACTCGGCCCATCACCAACTCGACCCATCAATCAGATATTGTACATCCTTGATATTGATATTCATACAACCTCCTTTACACTTAGCATATTCTTCCATAGTGATTGCTGGATAGTGACTCATCACTAATCTTTTACTTTACTTTTATCCTCTTCGCCACTGATCGGCCCGTTAGCCGCTTGGGCGATCGGTTACGTCTCTGTTACACACTGTTGGCAAGTACTGGGCATGCACCGGCTCCTGAATGTACTTGAACCTGCTCCAGTGTTGGTCAAGTCTGGTCTTGAAAGAGCTCACAACACTTTCTGGCAGGTTGTTCCAAGAGTTCACAGCTCACACTCAGTGCCATCACAACACTCTCTGGCAGTTTGTTCCAAGAGTTTACGGCTCTCACTCCAAAAAAGTTTGCCCTCACAGTTTTCTGGACCTGCGGCTTCTTTAACCTTGAGCTGTGACCCCTTGTGGGGGCGAGCGTCCGCCAGCTCCATTTAAGGACACTCGACTGAGTAGTGCCCCAGGTGATATGTATACACCTCAATTTGGTCGCCCCTTACCCGTTTGTAGTATAAGCTAGGCAAGTTCAGGCTCTCCAATCTCTCAGGGTAGCTGAGGTGCCGAAGGGCAGGCACCAGTCTGGTGGCCCTCCTTTGAACATTTTCAATCAACTGACAGTCCCTAGTATATCTCGGGGACCAGACGGGGTGACAGGACTCCAGATGGGGAAGCACTTCACTCTTGAAGATCGTTACGAGGGACGGACCGTCTAGATATCTGAACGACCTTCTTAAAAGATCTAATAATTTATTTGCCTGATTTACCTTCTTCTCACAATGGCCTTAGAACTTCAGCTCATTGTCAACATGCACCCCTAGGTCCTTCTCACATTCAGTCTCAAATAGTGCAGTTTCTTCATCCCGTTGGGACATATGATACGCCTCCTTACCGTTAGTACGCCCCAGGTACATCCTCTTACACTTCGTGACATTGAATTGCAGCAGCCATTTCTTCGACTATTCTTGGGGCTCACAGAGATCCTTCTGCAGCTGTTCACAGTCCGCTTGGTTCTTGATTTCCACAAATAACTTGGCGTCATCCGCAAACGTTTGTATGGAGGTGTGTACAAAGTCAGGCATGGCATTTATGAAACACCTGCAACCTCACTCCCAAACCTGTAAAACACATCCCCACACCCATAAATTTCACCCCCACAAATGTAAACCTCATCCCCACACCTGTAAACCTCATCCCCAAACCTGCAAAACTTCTCTCCTCACTCCCACACCCGTAATCTCACCCCCACACCTGTAAAGCTCACCCCCACACCTGTAAAATTCACCCCCGCACCTGTAAATCTCACCCCCACACCTGTAAAATTTCACCCACACCTGTAACTCACCCACACACCTGTAAAACTCACCCCTACATCTGTAAAACTCAAATTCACCCCCACACCTGTAAAATTCACCCTACACCTGTAAAACTCACCCCCACACCTGTAAAACTCACCCCTACACCTACAGTATAAGCTCGTCGCCTCACCTGACGGCGGGAAATGTTTGACTACGCGCCGGGGTTGTTGAGAAGGAGGAAGAATTACCCAGGAGAGTCATGGTAAAAACAAGGATGGATTTCTCGAGGCAATGTTGTACTCGGAAGTGAAGGAGAGGAAGGAAGTGAAGGAGAGGATGGCGGTGAAGGAGAGGAAGGAAGTGAAGGAGAGGAAGGAAGTGAAGGAGAGGAAGGCAGTGAAGGAGAGGAAGGAAGTGAAGGAGAGGAAGGCAGTGAAGGAGAGGAAGGAAGTGAAGGAGAGGAAGAACGAAGGAGAGGATGGCGGTGAGGGAGAGGAAAGCAGTGAAGGAGAGGAAGGAAGTGAAGGAGAGGAAGGAAGTGAAGGAGAGGAAGGAAGTGGAAGGAGAGGTAGGTGTGGGAGAGGAAGGAAGTGAAGGAGAGGCAGTGTGGAGAGGAAAGCAGTGAAGGAGAGGAAGGCAGTGAAGGAGAGGAAGGAAGGAAGGAGAGGAAGGAAGTGAAGGAGAGGAAGGCAGTGAAGGAGAGGACGGCAGAAGGAAGGAAGGAAGTGAAGAGGAGGAAGGAAGTGAAGGAGAGGATGGCGGTGAAGGAGAGGAAGGAAGTGAAGGAGAGGAAGGAAGTGAAGGAGAGAAAGTGAAGGAGAGGTAGGCAGGAGAGGAAAGCAGTGAAGGAGGAGGAAGGCAGGAAGGAGAGGAAGGAAGTGAAGGAGAGGAAGGAAGTGAAGGAGAGGAAGGCAGGAAGGAGAGGACGGCAGTGAAGGAAAGGAAGGAAGTGAAGAGAGGAAGGAAGTGAAGGAGAGGAAGGAAGTGAAGAGAGGAAGGAAGTGAAGGAGAGGAAGGAAGGAGAGGAAGGAAGTGAAGGAGAAGGAAGTGAAGGAGAGGAAGGAAGTGAAGGAGAGGAAGGAAGTGAAGGAGAGGAAGGAAGTGAAGGAGTGGAAGGAAGTGAAGGAGAGGAAGGCAGTGAAGGAGAGGACGGCAGTGAAGGAGAGGACGGCAGTGAAGGAGAGGTAGGCAGTGAAGGAGAGGAAGGCAGTGAAGGAGAGGAAGGAAGTGAAGGAGAGGAAGGAAGTGAAGGAAAGGAAGGCAGTGAAGGAGAGGAAGGCAGTGAAGGAAAGGAAGGCAGTGAAGGAGAGGACGGCAGTGAAGGAGAGGACGGCAGTGAAGGAAAGGAAGTAAGTTTTTGATTTTTTACTTGTACTTTACTTATCAGTGATAATTGCAATATATAACAACTGAGACCATTAGACCTTAAATAACCTTTCTTTTTCCTATACAACAACTGCCATTACCTTATAACGTCAAGTCACGCGGCGCTTCTTGCCAACCAAAACAAATAAAACGCGTGATTACATGTGACGTAACACACTTGGAACACCAGTGTGCCGCCTGGCCGGTGTTCCTGTATGGTCAAAGGCGGTAACAAACCACTCACGTGAGATATGACGTCACATGCAACATTTCGATTTACACATGTACTGTATTTGTAAGTTACGAAAATATCATTTGTAACACTGTGATCAGCCAACAGCAGTACAGGAAACACTGCAACCAAACTCCCACCGCGTCAATAAGAGACAATTAGTAGAGGTGGGAGAGACTCTGGGTCACACCTATATTTTGTTGAAATCACTGAGGGAGAAGCCAGACGACGGCAGTGTGCGTCCAACAGTCGATCGGGGAAGGTGTGTGTCTCACCGCTCCGCACATGTAAACACGCGGCCATTATTAAACACCCTAATGACATTGCCCGCGTAATTTTGCAAATTTCTTCCCCTGGTGAGCCAAAAAAGCCTTTAAATGGCGCACTCTAGAACATCGCATCTAAATGGCATCAGGCGATAGATGACAGACACTGCATGTGTTTAACCTAGATAAAGTGCAACGTGGGGGAAAATTTAACCTAGAAAATTATGACACAAGAATTGCAAAAGTGAAGGAACGATAGATACATAAAGTTACGTCGGGTAGTAATAGAGGTATTGAGTGGTGCAGGAGTATTACCGAGGTGTACAACCACTGTTCACTGTGGCCATGTTGAGAGTTATGTGTTGTTGACTCGTAAGCTGTGGAGATGCTGTGGCCACTGCACTCTGTCACAGGTGAGTGTCCTGCCTTACTCCACCTACCTCCTCTTCCAACTTCTACTCTTGGTCTTCCTTACCATCCTCCTCTTCTTCTCCCATCTTTTCTCTTACTCCTGTTCATCTTGTACTTCTCCTGTTGCTGTATTCTCTCTCTCTCTCTCTCTCTCTCTCTCTCTACCTCTCTCTCTCTCTCTCTCTCTCTCTCTCTCTCCTGTTGCTCTACCTCTCCTGTTACTACCTGTTGATCTACTTCTCCCGTTATTTATCTGTTGATTTACCGTACCTAACCTGTTCTTACCTGTTGACCTACCTCTTCTGTTAGTACCTGTTGCTGTGTTATCTCCCCTGTTTGACCTCCCTCCTGTTGCTGTTATCTCTAACCTGTTCTTCCTGTTATCTCACTCGTTGTTCTCCACGTTTGTTGTTATTCCTGTCTGTTCCCTCTGGATCACATCTGTCGTCTTAACTGCAACAACAATAATAATAATAATAATAATAATAATAATAATAATAATAATAATAATAATAATAATAATAATAGGTTAGGTTAGCGTTTGATAAGGTACACGTTACTGTTTAATCTTCAGGTAAAATAAGCTGGGGTGCCTAATCTTCAAGTGAAATAAGCTGTGGTGCCTAATCCTCAGGAGGAATAAGCTGGGGTGCCTAATCTTCAAGTGAAATAAGCTGTGGTGCCTAATCTTCAAGTGAAATAAGCTGGGGTGCCTAATCTTCAAGTGAAATAAGTTGGTTGCATAATCCTCAGAGGAATGAGCTGGGGTGTCTAATTGTCTTGTGATCAATAATAATGATAAAACATAGTCACGTGAATATAATGGTTAATGCACAAGTCGGTCAGTGATTGGCCAATTCCTACTACTATTTGGCCAATCACGATACGCTACACGCGTTTTCCCAGTTGTGTAATCTACTGGCAAATTGTTGTATCATCTACCGTCCATTTGTTCTTATCTACCGTCTACCTATGCTTATCTACCGTCTACTTGTTCTTATCTACCATCTATCTAATGTTATCTACCATCTACCTGTTTCTCTACCGTCAATCTGAATATATGTATACGTGTCTGCACTAACTCCCATACACACACACACATTAAGTCTATAGTGTCGCAGT